ACTGAAATCTTGTGGCGGATATATTATTCGTTATTTTAGCCGTTAAATAAAATTGGGACGAAAAATGTATTCTATTGCAATTTCAGTCTCCAACTTCAGTTGCTAAATTTTCTTGTCGATACTCTTTTTGTGTCCTGTTTTATATGTGATGAAAAAACATTTTAAAATATGATTCTTCAACATCCAATTGTTTTAAAAAATATTAAAATAATTTAATGTATCATATATGTTTAGTACATTAATTTTTTTACTTTACTTAAGAATTGAATTTAAAAATAACTGATATAATGTATCCTTCCTCAATCAATTGATGTTTTTTTTAAATAAAATTGAGTTAATTGAATTTTAAAATAAAATATATCTTAAATCTAATTATTGATCTTTAAAAATGAGTGGACTTGAATTTAAAATAATATAAGTTAATAAATAATTATTTATTTTATAATTTTCTTATAAATTAAGTTAAATAAAAAAAATTATTTAAAGTGAGTTAACAAAAATTTATTAAAATTAGTTGATATTTTTAGAGAAATTGTGGATAAAAGATTGTTTCAAATTTGTATAATTTGTTCAAATGTGGAGCTCAAAATTTTCTGAAACAAACATCACAACTTATATTACATACGTTAGTAGTCTTCTTAAGATTGAAAGCCTTGTTTAGATAACAGAAATAGTCTAACAAATTATGTTGGTAGAAGAATTTTTTTTATGTATTTGACTTGATAGGATAAATGTTGTATTAATTGGAAAAGATTAATTCTTTATTATTCACAATATTACTTGAGTTAACTGCCTTTCGTGAACAACGTATACATCATGGGTTGAAGGTATATTCTATTTTTATTGTTCAAGAAAACACAAGCATTAATGTCATGATCTTTGAGTGAATGAGAGAGATCCGAGTGGAATAGGGTTACTCAGTTTTGGAAAAGAAATTGATACAAATTGTTACTTTGAACCCACCCTTCTTCAACAAAAAACAAAACGTTGTCGATTGGTCTATTAATTAGTGACTGTTTTCACATCAAATTCCTGCTATGAAAGCTAGAGGGCAGCCCTTAGAATGTAGAAAGGAGCCCAAAAGAAGAAGAATGGCTGAATATGATGTTAAAAAGCCTCTCCTGTGGTTGCTACTAGCTCTAGCATTGTGGTGGCACCAACTATAATTCTTAATTAGCTTTTCAGAATAATCACATAATCACGTATTTGATTAAGAAATATACCAGCTCGTATCACGCTTTAGAAGTTAAACACTTCCTTACAGAAGGAGTAGAGTAGAGTTGAAGACGACATATTTTCAAATCCTTCTAGCTGCATAACAGTTTGTTTTTTTCAGCTTTATCATAACTATTTAACTTATACTAATCCATCAATATCCATTAATTAATGCATAGATAGAAGGAGCTAACATCGAAAATCATAGTTCTCGATGGAGCCATCGGGATAGCAAAACCTGGTGTAGACTAGAATTGCCGAATTGCTGAAACAATTTCAGCAATGCTTTCAAATTTCCTTCTGTCTTTGAGAAGCATCTTAGCCAAGTTAAGGGCCTTCCGTTCACAGGTAGCCCGTTTAACAGAATCAGTAATGGATTCGAAATCCTCAACATGGACCACGCCAACAATTCTCCTGTCAAACATGCAATCAGAGTGAATCCTTGTCCAGGCTACATAAAACAAGACCTACTACAACTTGGCCTCTGTGGCCTCTCCAATCTCTGATCTCTAGTATCTTGTTTTATTTTCTTTCCCTTATTTTGTTTAATTATATCAGCGAGGAGAAGTGTCACCTTATCATTTTGGCAGCACCAAATCCAACACTGTCATGAAACAATTCTGTCATGTATCGCTTCTGCGCAAGAAGTTGAACCTCAGGATTGTTATAAATTGCTGGAAGATATGCCTCACCAGCACCATTTCTGTGCTCATCCCAAAGTGCAACGAAGTTATTGTAAAAGAGATTCCAAGTGTCTTCAATTGTCTGAAGAATCCACTCTTTATATGCCTGCAAAACATCGAGTTCTGTTGGTCTCAGCAAAGAATATCAATCTTTTTGCCATTAATCGGTAATCTGTGACGATTAAGGAGAGATTCATAATAAATGCCTAATCACATTACGTCAGTCTTCCTGTATTCCAAAGCAGTAATTATACTAATAGATAAAACCAAGACAAATGAAGACGGAGATAGAAAATAGATAAACAGCAGAGTAGACTTCCCCCAAGTTTTCTTTGTTACAGGTGTTGTGGGAAAAACAACTACTTCCAAAGAGACCATCTCTAATGCTTTGTTTAAGAAAGAAAATAGAGACTAGGTAAATGGAGATAAAATAAAGATGAGAAAAGAAGAGTAAATTTTACTATTTGCCATGGGAGAAATATGGAAAATATTAAGTTTATTTTTTCTTGAATAGACAATTATTTCCAAGTTAAGAATCATAATAAGTTATAGATGGAGGTTAAGATATTTTAAAAAGGACATCAAACTTTTGTTCTTTTCTCCTCAGACGAGAGAAGATAAAAGTCAGTGGATGTATCTCTCCTTGTTTCTGTCTCATATTTTTGTCCAATCATATAAGGAGAGTCTATATTTCTATCTTATTTCATCTTAACCAGAGAAAGTGTAAGACTCTAGTGGTCGGTCGGTCTGATAATCCACATGTATAAATTTGTTACCTCCATATACACATCAAGAACACCGTCTCTCCATTATAACTCAGGAGGTGCATGCATTGGACAAGGCACCAGTTTTTGACAGAACAGAGTAAGAGTGTGACAGAAGTTGGATTTGACATAGTATCGAATAAGGATAGTAGAGGGGTGTATAATACTAGAATTGGACGTACTTTTCTATCATCGGGTTGATCAACAAGTCCATCCTGAGCAAAGAATGCCAACATCAAGTTTCCGAGGAAAGCACCAACGTCAAAACCCATTGGTCCATAAAATGCAAATTCTGGATCGATGACTTGAGTTGATTGAGGAGTAACCATGACAGAGCTAGTGTGCAGATCTCCATGTATGAGTGCCTGGGCCTGCTCTGAGAACCTGGAGGAATAAAAACTATCAAAAACTATAGAATAGAGTAGAGTGCAGTGTAATGGGAAAAAGTGGGAGTCGCATATACTTCGATTTGAGAAGAGCAATTTCAAGTTTGAGGAGATTGTCTTGACGAAGAGCCTCGGCATCAGGATCAAGATAGGGAGAAGTCCAGTGGTTGTATTCAGAAATTTGATAAGGGTCGGAGAAAACAACCTGCTCAGTGTGCCTGCATAAGGCGGCATTCCCGCAAAATTTGGCAACTGCAATAACGAATCAAGTATCAACGTCCATAGAAGGAATAAGAGATAGTGTTAATAGATTGATTATTTACCTTGTCGTTTGTGATCTAGAGTGGAATGGAAAAGGAGAGAAGTGAAGAACAAATTGTTTGCCATGAAGTGCGCGATGTGGCGTGCGAGGAGCGGATACTGAATTCCAGCGATCAAGCCTTTCCTGAGTATGATGTGGGGGGGTTGAAGGTAGCGCATGGCGATCAAGGACATGGTTGGGTCAAAATGATAGAGTTGTGGGACATGGTGAGGGGTAAGGCGACCCTGTTCTTCCAGGGCCATGGCCTCAAAGTAGGCTCTGTCTTTGGTGAGTGGCCATGATTCCCCGATGCAACGAATGTAAGGGAGAGACTGCTTGATGATAAGGGAAGCGCCGGAGTTGCTCACCAGGAACACAAAGTTGAGGTTACCATCTCCGATTTCTTTCACGGTTACCTTCTTATCATCATCTAATTCCAGCTTCAGCTTCAGCTTCAGCTCAGGAACGCCCTTCACGTACTCTATCACTGACCTCTCGTCTAGCCTAATAAACTCCAAAAACGCCATTAAAATCTGTAACTAAATAACTACAATCAACTACATACACACACACACACACACACTTTCTTTACGTTTACTTTTATGAAGGAAGGGAACTGAGGATGGAATATAGAAGGAATGGTTCATTGAACCTGCTACTTCATCCTCACATTGATTTTGACTACCCACAACACCAAATCCACCTCTTTTATTCTTCCACGACTTTTCAACTACCTATGAATTTCTCCCACGTTCATTGCAAAACTTTCCTGGCTCACATTTTTCAAAACAATCTTATTTAACACTCTACATTACAAAAAACTAAAAAAAAATAATAAAAACTTCTGTTTTTTTGAGAAAAAAAAAACTTGATTAACAACGAATTGATAAACAGTTAGTTAAAAATCAACTAAATTTCTCAACTTAGAAAAAATTTGTTGATGTCGATTAAAAAAACCCTAATCAACAATTCAGAAAAACATTAATCTACATAGAAAAAAAAAAACTTCAACTAATGTGCTCAAAAGATCAACTTCAGCTTAAAAAACACGCATATATTAGTTGAAAATATAATGTCTTCGTCTTGAATCAACTACATTTTTATCGAAATTGGGTAGATAATGATACCTCCAAAACATTCGAGTCAAGATTAAATAAAGAATTTCATTTTTCTTTAATTTTAAATTTTAATTTTACTATCCACATAATATATTTTATCATAAAAATTTAAAAATTATGGCTAAAAATAATCACTTACTAAAAATTATCCATCCCAATCTATTTACATGGAGAATAAACGGTCTATCTTTTAAAGTATAATTTTTTTAATTAATTTTTTATTGTTAATAAATGAATAAATATTTTATTACCGTTAAAATTCAATTATACTGAATTGTATTTATGATAGTATAGATGTATTAAATTATATTTAAAATTTTAAAACTAAATTAAAGTCTCCGCGCCCTTTAAACGACGAATTGAACATTTTAGTAGCAAAGTAGTTTTACATGTTTTGATAAAAAAAATTGAAGTTTTAATAGATTTGGACATATATTTGTTGTACAGAACTAAGGTGACAAAGAAAAAGAAAAAGAAAATGAGAGAAAAAGGTGTAAATTGAAATCCCTGTGTTAACGAGATTGGTATTGGCGATGGCGATGGCGATGGCGGCACAAGCAGAATGGATGGTGAGGGCGTTGAGGAGTGGTCACCGTCGCTTGTCGGTGGGAAGGCAGTGGGAGGAGAAATGGCTTACGCTGCCTGCCGTGAGTGCGAGTGGCACTCTGGAGGTGAAGGGAAAGGGAAAGGGAAACCAACTCTCCTCCACTCCCACCACTGCCCTCAAATGGATTGTTCGCTGCTGCCCAAACATCCCCAAACCCCTTCTCCACAAGCTTTTCCGTCTACGACAGGTTCGAGTTCTCTCTTCTCCTCCTCCTCCTGCTCCTCACATGGACACGCAACATCAAAAAGTCAAAAGGGTGAGTAACCATCTCATCTCTTCTCTTCTCTTCCATTCCATTCTTATCGTATATCACAATATCATGACATTACGGCATGAAGGTCGCAGCTAAGGACACCTTGAACACTGGAGATCGGATTTTACTTCCTCAATCTGTTCAACAAAATCAAACGCCTACGCACAAACCTCACTCTCCTCTCACTCCCCAGCAAATCAACTTTATCCGTACTCTTGTTTTATACAAGGTGTTCAACTTTAACCCCGTTCTTTTTCCTTTTCCCTGTCTAATCTTCCTCTCATCTCAATCTCAATCCCTGTCTGATGTGCTTAGGATCCTGCCATTCTCGTCCTCAACAAACCTCCAGGAATGCCAGTGCAGGTATGCTCCCCCCTTCATTTGGGCTTGCCATACTCATCTTCGCTCATTGATTCTTACACCTCCTTTCTATCTCTCTCATTAGGGTGGCATTAATGTCAAACACAGTTTGGATGCTGTAGCTGCTTCGTGTTTAAAATATGAATATTCTGAGCCCCCTCGTCTGGTGAGCCCTTTGTTCACTTTCTCATATCACTATCTGTGCAATGTCTTCTTTATCACTCACTTTCTTATGCCTTCTCTAGTACCAAGCTATTTTCAAATGCATTTTATCTTTATTTCTTCCTCACCCTATTATTTAATCTAGATGATGACGATTGAAACTGGTTCAATAGAGTGTTTGGCAAATGCAAACTGATTTTCAATTTATTATGCTTTTGCTAATGATTTCACATTGCAATCTGGCTCTAACTGTTTGTGCACTGGGAGGGAAGGGAGCTCAAGATAATCATGCACTTAACTTACTGCTCAAATTTTGCATTGGTTTTGATATAATGACAAGAATATAAGAATTTAAGAACCCATGACATGATGAAGCTTTCTTTCTCTATGAAACAACATATTGTTTCGTGCACCAGTGTTTAATTACAGAGATTTATTTTTTATGCCCTTTTAGCAGTATCAGGAGATGCTGGTAATTGTAAACAATAGATCAAATAAAACTGGAAGAAAATGAGTTTTTTTCTTATTTAATGGTTAGATAAACTTTAATTGTTCTTGTACTCAAGACTCAAGATAGTTGCTAAGATTCAAGTGGTATCTTGGTAAAAAAGAATGGTAAATATTATTATTTATTATTCTTCTATCAAATACTGTTGCATCTGTTATCATCATTACAAAGCTTGAACTTCCATGAAATTAGTGGGATTGTTTGCCTTGTCTTTTAGTGCTGTGCTAATATGATTGATGGTTGTTTGTATCTATGAAGCACGAACTAGTTATTAGGCTGATACTTGAACAAAATTGTTTTTAGGTGCATAGACTAGACAGAGACTGTTCTGGCATTCTGGTGATGGGAAGAACACAGACAAGTACTACAGTCCTGCATTCCATCTTCCGGGAGAAAACATCCGGAGCATTAGATGATGTGCGTAATTATTGTTCTCATCAAATGCTTCACGCATGCTAAAACATTCAGAGCATTAATCTGTTAGGGTCACAATCTCAAATTTCTATGTTCATTTCATTGCTTTTCTTGATTTGGTACTGTTTGAACTTAAATAGATAGGCAAAGAGAAGAGAATACTACAAAGAAGGTACTGGGCACTTGTCCTTGGATGTCCTAGGCGTCTGAAGGGGTTGGTCACTGCTTCACTGGGTAAGGTTGTAGCCTTGTTCTCGCTTTTTAACTATCAGAAATTTTCTTTTGGTCAATCTTACTGCTAGAATGTTGTGCTTGTGCATGCTGCATCTATTTCATATCAGAAATGTCAAACTAAAAAAAAATTACTTGTATGTAATGTGCATAAATGAAAAAGTTTTGCTCCGAATCACAGTTTCATCTTAAATCTAAACTATCCTACATTTTAAGCAACATGTAGTATATGCTATCAGTAATTACTAAATTTATCATGAGCTTCGCTATAAAAAAAATAAGTTTGAACAATTATATTCCTCAAATGGTGGGGAGTGTTATGTATGAGGAATTTGCCTTAGTCCTTTAATCCTTTTATCTTCTTATGGGTAGCTGATTTTCTGATAAATCCTTGTTTTAGTTGCAGTGTTTCCTTTGATGCTTTACATGTTTTGTGAACTGATGAAACAAGTTAAAAATAAACTTGTTAGTATCTGCAGCCCTACAATCATGGATGGCCATCAACTCTCTGGCAGTGCATGACATGAAAGCTTAGGCCTTACAGCATGCAATAGCCCATAACCTAAATTAACTTCTAGCGTTAAAGTAAATTGACATTGATTTGAGTAGCTATAGAAAGCTCCTTATTGCAAAATAATGTTGCAAACTTGTAGCCCTTTATTTGATTTCAGGTGGTAGTTGACAATGGCAGATCTGATCGAATAACTGTCTTTGACAATTCTACATCATTATCTTCACAGCATGCAATTACAGAGTACCGAGTGATTGCATCATCATCACAAGGTTGGTAATGAAACTTAACTTTAATTCTAAGATTAAATCTCATCTGATAAGAACGGATTCCATTATTTTCCCTGTGTTACATGTTTTTTTGACATTTTAAACTCGATAGGACCCTAGTTTCAACCACTCTCATTCTCATTAATTGTTAATGGGTTGGGATGGGATCATTAAATGTCACTAGTGTTGTAGAAGCAATAATTAACCACTTCTTGCAGTTATTGCAATGTCAAAAAATGCATGCTTCCAAACTATTTTAGTTTACAAATGGTTTTATTAAATAATGTTGTTCAACATTTTCACTTGATACTAGAAAAGCAGAGAGTCCCTGACAAAAGAGCTAATAGTTACATCAAAAATTAATTTTACATAATTTCATGTTTGGGAAGTAGAATTTACAGTCTGCCAAAAAGCACAAGTAATCGCACCAGCTGGAGGGGGTCTCTGATTTGTCTCAACAGGGTCTGTTTGCCACATTTTTATCTCTTTATTTTTATGGCACTACATTGTGTGGAAAAATTGTGATATGTATTTTTTCCACCCTCTTTGGCATGAGTTTTCCCGGAAAGTTCTTCTCCTCAGCTCTTGTTATCTGGCAACCCCTACTTATATGTCTTCTCAAATAGTGCAGGTTACACATGGTTGGAGCTGTCCCCTTTAACTGGTAGAAAACACCAGGTAACAAAAACTAGGGAAGAATCATTTGATATTTGTGTCAGTCAGAACATAAAATGTTCAAATCATTTGATATGGCTCACGATAATTTCTACTCTAACTGTGTGTACCTGGTGCTACAGCTTCGAGTCCACTGTGCTGAGGTGTTAGGTACACCAATTGTTGGGGACTACAAGTATGGATGGCAAGCACACAGGAAGTGGGGACATTTTGATTTGTCTAGAGTGGAAGACTCCCGTGAAGAGGTTCTCAAGGGAGAAACGCTCCCCTTTGGCCATAATTTGAACAAAGGGAGCATCTCTGAGAATCATCCTCGTTTGCATCTTCATTGCAAGCAAATAGTCTTACCCAATATATCTCAAGCACTGCAAAATATGCAATCATCTTCCAATTGTGATATTTCACTAGTGGAAGGGCTTGAGTTGGTGGCGGATTTGCCTCCATACATGCAAAGAAGTTGGGATGTCACAAATTATTGAATTAATGGTATATATATCACAGATCGATTTCGACGAGGCAAATTCTTCCGCTCGGGTTTCCTCAGAATTCACCGGATGTTGGTTTGAGCTTGTTCTCTCACCCATGTGCCATACTACAGTGCTACTCTACATGCAACGCCATTGAATTAAATTCGGGTCAGTTGATTCACCGGAATTTAAACCAGTGAAAGTGAGAATCATTTTGCAGTTCATAAATGAATTTGTACTGGTAGCTATAGCCCACTGCATAACAGTTCCGTCAATTTTATCATTTTCTGCAACATAGCTACATTCTGTGAAATTAATGTGGAGTACCTTTAGATATTAAAAAGTTCCTTAAAAACAGTCTGTAGAGATTTTTCTTTCTCGACAATAAAAGAAAATTATGATAAGATTATATAGAATATGTGAGAATTTGAGACATTTTTTTTCTTTCTATATATTTTAGAATTGTCATTAATTCTAAATCATGATCATTGTTTTGTATTTTAATTAAATAATTGAAAAAAATATTTATTTTTAAAACTTATTTTCTTTTCTAATGTTTTTTTATTTAAAATTATTTTTTTTTAATAAAAGGAAAGATGACACAGTTCACCATAGGTTGAGACATTGTAATGTTCTATTTTAATAAAAAATAGTTTTATAATCTATGACATTTTTCTTCTTTGTCTTCAAATATATCACACACTTAAATAAATAGTCTTGAACTGTATAATTATATTTTTAACAATTTCTACATGACTACCTTACCGACAGAAGGTCTCATTTTATAATTTACACTATACCTGTTATCAGAATCTAAGTGCATGATGAAAGTATTTTTTATACTTTACTTTTTCCTGCGTAAAAAATGAATTACCATATGTTCCAAATATTACTGTAGCTATCGGTTTAAGATTTACCAAATGCATTATTTATAAAACTAAAGGTTCATCTGGTTTGGAAATAACGAACATAATTAAAATAATAGTATTGTAATAATTTTTTATAATAAAAAAATAAAGATATAAGTTTTTTTCAATATTTAGGGTGATAGGATTGATGTTACCATAAAATATAATTACTTTAATCATGGTTCTTCCTTACATTATAAAAAAAAAAGGTATTAGTGGTTCAGTCCGAACCAAAATTTACCAGTATCAATTTGTTAAATATTTTCTTTTTCATTCCTGGATTTTGAGATGAGTTTTGTTTCTATTTTTTAAATTTAAAATTGATATTTTTAGTCTACATAATATGAAAAATGCTTTATTTTAATCCCTTTATCTCAGTTAAAAATTCCACTTATATAATTAACAATTATAAGTGGTTTGTATGACAATTTATTTTAAAACGTTATTTTTAATAACAAATAAACTCCAAAACATTACTTGACTTTTTAGTTTTGTTAAAAAAAAAAAAATATTCTACTAAATTCCATTAGAAAGTTATATATCTTCGAAAGTATTCACTGTGTATTTCTTTAAACGCACCCGCGGGGAAGGGAATTGCGAAGAGAGACGATCCGACATCCATTTTGAAATTTTGAGAAGAGAAGAGGAAAGAAGAGAAGCGAAGAGAAGATGGTTGATACGAAATTTGCATGTTTGTTGGAGAATTTGAAGGTAGAGGATCCATGGCTTCCCCCAAACACGTGGGAATCCATACCTTCTGAGAGTGGACTGCGTCCTGCTTCATCAAATAAATCAAAACAGCCTCTCTCTCACCTCTCCACTCTCTCCGTAAGTTCCTCTTCTGTTATTCTTCCCTGCTTTCTACTGCAATGCAATGCAACGCAACGCAATGCGTTTTCCCATCGTAAAACCTAGTCAATTTCGAACACTTCATTTCCTACTTTCTCACTCTGCGCTTTTCCATCACTATCTATCTATGCATAGGAATCAAGTTTGGTGAGGTTGGCCATGAATGCGATGCAAGGTACAAAATCATCCCTTGTTAGCATTCAAAAGATATCTGCCATCTTTTGTTCTGATCTAGCTGACAGGACCTTCCTCCACATTCCCAACCTCTGGAATCGTGCTTCCAGCACTCGTTCTTTGGGAAATATACTTGAATCTATTGGCTGCACCGCCTCTCTGGTCTTTCTTCTTCGTGCGTTTGTGGACTATTATACAAATATGGATATGGACCTCAGCTTTGGACAGACACGTCATAACTCTGATGTTTGCAAAAGCCAGGTTCATCACGAGGACACAGTGAGAGCACAACAGTTCCCTCCATTTACACTTGTTAATCAAGCCTTTGCTGTTGCTGTGGGAAAAGTCTTGGAAGGGTACATCTGTGGATTGGACACAATTCATACATCTGTAATTTTGAGGCGTTCATCAAAAGATGTGGATTTGACTGTGCCCGGGTGTTTGAAGAATGTAGTGCATTCTGAAATCACACTACTTGAGTTTTACCTGCACACAAAAGAATTAAGGACTCAAATTGAAGCCCTTGCTAGTGTATGTAACCTTCAAAAGTGGGCTCTTTGCTTTCCAGATACGGCTTTCGAGGACTTGGTTACCGAAGCTACTTCTGAATTTCGTAACTTCTATAGAGGGGGAAATTTATTAACATTTTTGTTTTCACAGTTACAGGTTAGCTTATTTGAATGTGAATCGTTTGTTAGAATATGTGGAAAATATCAAACAGTCTCTTGGATTATATTTTGTAATATTTTAGATTGTCTCCTAGGATTTGTTTCTCATTTCCTTCGTTTCCCTATTATCTCTTTGTTAATATGTTATTCTTACACTATGAAGTATCAATCAAGGGTGTCATTAAATTGATACTTCACAGCGTATACCCACATCCCGCACACCTGACTGCCTTTTCATCTTTGGCATATCCCTTTGTATTATGATTTTAGAAGGGGACAAAGAAAGCTGAGTTTGGATATTACTAAAGTAATGGATTACAAAATAGCTTACCATGAGGGATGGCAGGAAGATTGTTGGCTTTTATTGTTACTTTTATTCTTCTGTAGTGTCAAAGGGACATTGAGTGTTGTAGCATCCAGGGAGATTTATAACAAATACAAATTTAAATTGGACAGATGACAGGCTGGTGGAGCATAGAATTGTCACCAGTGGTTCAACTAAATATTTTACACACTTGTTGCAATGGAACAGTTGCATTATATCTGTAAAAGATATTGCTATTTTAAATAATTTTTCTTTATTGGAATATCTTCTGATCTATTCGGCTTTCTGCAATTTAGGTTGCTGATCCTTCTCACTGCACTCTGCTCAAGTTTCTTTTTCTTCAATCATGTGAACCATATTGTGGGTTCATTAGATCATGGATTTTCAAAGCAGAAATACATGACCCGTATAAGGAGTTTATTGTAGAAAATCAGGACTGTTTAACTTCTAAATCACATGTTAAATCTGGCAATTCTGTTGACTTTCCATTAGCAAGCGTGAAGGTAATTCTTTCCTGCTGGCTGCTAACAATTTTCATTTGCATCATAACTTTATATTGCTTTGTTATATTTTTTATTCTCATGAAGTGGACTTTAACATCAGGTGCGAGATGGAGTTCCCATTCCAGGGTTTCTCAAAGATTTCTTGGTCCCACTTGTTAGAGCTGGTCAGCAGCTTCAAGTACTGTTAAAACTGCTTGAAATGTGCATTCATGTTGGTACTGGAGAACACAGTTGTGATGACTTTCTACCCTGCTGGAGTGGCTTTTCAAGCAGTAGTCTATCTTATTCATCTCCATTGGCTTTCAGCAAAAATGTTATAGAAGATATGGTTCTTGCAAGAGAAAATTATTATAAAAGGATGAATGGGAAAATTGAAAGCCTTTTGAGCAGTTTAGAAGTTAGATATCTGCAGGTGGTCATACTCCATAGTTTTGGGTACATGCATTATTTTGCAATAACAGAAATTTATTTGAAAAAATGTTTCTATATTCATTTTTGGTTTATTTTTTAGTTTTTTCATTTAATTATTGTTTTAAAAGTTTGTACAGAAAATAATAAAAGCATTAGTATTTTGTTTTTGCTTTTTTCTATATAAACCTTTGAAAAAGAAATAAAATGAAAACAAGGTGACATTTTGTAATTAAAAGTGAAGATAGAAAGTATTCTCAAACTAAATAACCTCCAAGATGTTCTCGTGTAATCTCCAATAAAAATACTGCAGGAAACCCACTTAAACATATTAGTTGAAGACCATCAAGGCAAAAAAATTCTTGGATTATTTCTAGGCCAAATGCATCAAATTATTTCTTTTGAAATCAAACATCTGTCAAGATATTTCCCTGTTTAATTTTGTATAAATTACCCTTCAAGCTTTCTGGTTCTAATATGTGAAGAGATATTAAAATCTGTCTTGTATCTTCACCTAATATGTTGTGCTTTTGGGTAGAATTGGATCTTGACTAGTATGAAAGTCTTTATGACCAAATGGTCAGAAATTTAATTCTTGCTGCTCTAATTCTTGGATAAAAGTTGAATTTGGACACATGTAAATGGGTATGTGCATTGCCTATGTTCAAGCCTAAAGAACTCTTGCATTTGGCTATGTTTAGAGATGTAATAAAGCAATTGATGATCCTTCACCCAATTAGGAGAGTTAGTCATTGATATAATACAAACAAGCCAAATTGCACAAAAGTGTGTGGTACTTTTGTTTTCATAATGCCTGCTATGACTTAGGAAAATACTTATTTAACGCCACAGGTACTGTTGCTGTGCTGCATATACAATTTTAGTTTTATTTTATATTTTACTTTGTACTATAAATTACTGTGTATTTCTTAAAACCTTGATTCTATTCATCTTGATGTTATTTAGACCAGAGCTGAAGTCGAAGTAGTCATTTTCTTGTAATTGTTATATTTGTTGTTACTTGCAAATACAATGTCTCAATTGAATTGCCAAAAGATACCATTGCATATGCGCTGTTATAACAGTTATTTTTCATCATTATCCATTTGCAAGAATGATGTCATATCTTTATTTTGATCTACCATTAGTTTTTGAAACTGGAAAAAAGGAGCACCGGAAGTATAACATAAGATATAGGCAGAATTAGGAAAGAAGAATACTTTTTTCTCATTTTGAGCAGGTGCTTATATCTGTACCTTTTTCCCTTCTTACAAACAAATATTTTCCTTGTGCAGGTAGTTATGCATGCTTTAGTACCTTCTTTTGATAATGGTGGAGGTACCTTAGACAAACTAGGCCAGATCATGTCAGAAAACAATTCTGTTGGTTGGGCAATAGCAGATAAAAGAAGTTTAAATATGTAATATCCTACTCCCCTCATCGTACAATTCCCCCTTCACTGAAATCTGTGAGCATGAATATGCATGTACTGAGTAGCATGCTTCTTGACTTCATAATTATTTGCTTGACACTTTATTTCCCTTTGTTATTGCTTCATTGATGTTTTATAGATTTTCTCAGGGGCATTGATGATTTGGGCTCTGATGTCTCTAGTACAGTGGATGAGTTCTCCTTGCTGGATGATATGTGTGATTTATCTGAAAATTCATCCTTAAAGAGCTCTGAGGAGCAATTGGATTGTGATCAGCTTAGTGGCTGGTCTTGTCAGGTAGTTGGGCAACAAAATCATTTATCTGCTTTAAGCTTCCTGAAGAGTGCCGCCTCAAATAATTCAATGCAAGCTTCCTGTCTTCATGAAAATTCAAGCAGTCATTTGGGTGAACTCTGTGATAAAAGGGATGCTACTGATGACTTCGTGAAGTCCCCCCATGAGGGAATGCTATTGAGTCAGAAGTCTAATTCTCTAAATCCAGGGAATACAAGTTGCTCATATAAATCTAGTATTCAATATAGAGGGAATTTGACTGACAGTTGTTCAGCAATGGATGACTTTTTGAAAAAATCATTTGATAATGATGTAGCTGTTGATCCAAAGGTGACTCAAAAGCACCTGGGATCCCTGAGATATTCTATGTTATGCCATGATGTTATTACTGTTAGTGAAACTTTGAGTGGGGAGGCCACGAAGGAGGATCAACCTGACAATAGTACACTCATTTCATATTTGTATGATTTCCAACCACAGAATTATCCTAGCATTAATCCCCTTAGTGTGAACCCTATGTTGACAAGAAATTCAGTTCTTCACCTGATGGGTGGGAATGGGGAAAAATTCAAGGCTGAACATGAACAGCCTTTGCCTTACTTCAACTTTTCTACTGTAGAGGACCCATGTAAGGTTTATATTGACAAGGTACCCACCAACTCTAGATATAGTAGTGCATCTTCATTTACACTACATAGTAATGTGTTGAATCGTAATGCTAAGAATAATGAACATGAAGAAATTGGTCATGGTAGAGAGAATGGGTTAGTTGATGTTCCAAAGTTGTGTTCTTCACTGGACTTGATGAACCATAAACATTTAACCGTTGTATCTGGTGGGAGCAGCTGGGAGAGATTGCTGAGTAGTTTTGGAAATACTGTCAATTGTGAAGATACTCGAAAACAAAGTTTATCATCAACATTTGAGATACCACTCGATATTATACTTGACAAGTGCTTGCTGCAGGAAATCATGCTTCAGTATCCTTTTCTTCATGTTTGTCTTGGTAAATTGATTGATTAGTTTATGTATGGTGTTTTTCTTCAATTTATTTATTCTTATATTGCTTCTATTTCTCTGCATGTACTTAGATTAAACTAGTAAGAATTAATCATGAATACCCAGTTCACTGAAGTCTAAATCTGGTCATTCCAATCGCATCTTACTATTTGTCAGCAGTATTACTGTCTGTAATAATGGGTCAATGCAACCTCAATTGGCTTCTTTACTGCTGCTGTAATACTTAGCAAACTACTGGAACACAAAGGTGAGAACTGTTGGAATGGGTTTCAAAATTATCTGATCAAGAAGCTAAAACCCATGAAGGATGTCTAAATGTTAGTATTTTATTTGACCATTTTAATGTGAGAATGCTTATGGTACTTTAATACTTCTTCTACAGAAGAAAAACAGACCCTGTCGCTAAGATTGGATGTGCTACGTGGACCAATTGGTGGCATTTATAATTTCTGCTCTATAGTGATTTAGTGATCAATGTGTTTTAAATATTATTGTCCTACCAAGATGCAATTTATGCAGCTAACTTGTTTAAAATATACATGTTTAAGTGGATAATGCTAATTTCATGAACATGTAAAGAGTTTTATGTGTAAAATTGAAGGATGGAATAATTGCTAATTTGCTATAATGTTAGTTCTTATAATTGCAGATGGTGCAATCAGTTCGAAAGTCTTTGATGACAGTTCTTTGTTTTTATGATGCAAGTTTGTTGGATCAGATTAATTGACACATTTCATTAATAATGGTAATCAGTTCCCTAAAGACATTGATTAAGGAATTAAAAGTGCAGATATTTTTTATTAAACAGTGTTTTAGTGTACTTTCACCATGACTTCCAATGCACCTGTGTCATTTCCATTTAAATTTTTCTTATTGTTCATTTTCAACCAATGCCGGGTTAGCAAGATCTTGATTAATAATTTCTCTGATGATATATTTTCAGGATTCATCTTTTTCAAATTTTTCTTTATTGCACAATTGAAATGAGTTGTGCTCAATATAATAATGCTTTTAGGGAATAATTCTGTACTAGTGCTGCTTGTCCTTAAAAAATATTAGATACAATTATGTCAGCAAGCTTACCATCAATGTGCTCGAGGAAGCATTTAAGTTGCAAGATCATCTTTTGGCACTCCGGCGGTATCATTTTATGGAATTAGCAGATTGGGCAGATTTGTTTATCTTGACTCTTTGGCATCATGTATTCCTAAATTCTGATTCCCAGGGACTTGTATAATACGTCTTACTTTCATATCCAGCTATCTGACTATTGTCTATAAATACTGTTATGTTTACTCATTATTTGGTTTACTTGAAATTGCAGAAGTGGTCTGTTACAGAAGCAAATGAGAGACTTTCAGAAATTCAAGGTCTACTTGAGTTGTCAATTCAGAAATCTTCTTGTGAACAAGACACTCACAAGGATAGGTTGTTTGTGTACATGAAAGGACATGGGAAATTGCCTCTTTCTGCATCTGTCATTGGTAAATCCATACTACTATAGTAAGAGGATTCCCTAGTTGAATACCCAATTTTTACTTTTCCTAAAGACCAAGTATTCTATTTTCGCTGCAAAAAAATCATTATTTCAAGTTAACTACAAAGACCAACAATATTTTAATGATAGTTTTCTATTACAATATTCCTGATTTAGTCAATTTTAATTTGATTTTAAAATTTAAAACAGTCCAGCCATTTTCTATGACTAAATAAGAAAGGATTTTCTGTATAAATAACCATCACCACTATAATATTTGACCAAGAACAACTTTGACTATTAGCCTTTTCTTTTTGTACTTTTATTGATATTGCAGTGGTTATTGTTATTTACCATTTCTTAGGTTCATTGCAAGTTTGATAAGCTCCCCCACCAATTATCCTCTCTTTGGCATCAATTAATGAATTTGTAAATGATGGCAGGGGTTCGTTCCTTTGATTTCTTAGGATTGGGTTACCATGTGCATTGGCCACTCAGCATTGTTTTAACACCTGCTGCATTGAAAATATATGCTGATATATTCAGCTTTTTGATACAAGTGAAGCTTGCAATTTTTTCATTATCAGATGTATGGTGCTCGTTAAAGGTGTGATTTCTTGGAATCTTTTCGTTTTCTTTTCCTTGATTTCATTGTTACAAATATGTATTTGTTGTCTTATATCTCGTAAGTATTTGTGTAATTTTCCCTCTTTATAATGAATGGACTAACATTTGTCTAATTAGAAGTTAGAATTAGAAATAACACGTACCAAGGTTCTACCTTAGTACCGTTGATGAATTATTAATAAAATATGGTATGGTTGGATGATTGGAACACACCCAGTTATCCAAGTGTGATACCACTATTTGGTTGAATGTATTCCACTGCAATCAATTTGTCCTCTCTTTGTTTGGAATAAATATCTCATGTTTGTTAGAATGTCATGAAAAAATATTCCCGAACATTTTTAGTTTTAGGGAAGTCACATTTTAGCAACTTTTATTATCTCATATTCTTATGGGAATAAAAGTTATTTTTCTACAATAAGTATGCATTCTGCCTCATGCTTCCATGTTTTTTTTCTCACTTTGATTTTTCAATTTTTTTAGTTAATTAATTTTTTTTTTCTAAAAATTACTAAATGTCAACCAAACACATGCATGGAAATATCATTCCTAATATTCCTAGGAATGAAATTCCTAAGACTGCAAAATTATACCCTGAAATAAACTCTCCCTTATAGCCTTTATTTTTCTAAATGGGAAATAAAGTATATTTTTGCAGTTCATCCCCCAGAAATATTCTTGTATCCTCTTTTACCTGCATAGTGCATATTTTATGTTTTTTCATATTTTATGGCAGTTAAGTTTTATTAAAATGTTTGAGAGCCAGCAATTTAGACAGTCTGCACTTACATTAGTATAATAGTCTGGTATCCCAATCTGCTTCTGTTGCTCAGAATTGCTTACATTCAGCATTTCCAAAAAAATACAAAATCTGCTGATTATGTAAATTGTAACGGAACATATTTTCATTCAATTTTGGCAAACAGGATTTGATGAATGTAACCAACAAAGACCAACATTCTGAATTACAACTTGAGACAGGGCATCTTAATATATTGATGAAGATGAGGTATTTTGTTTTTCTGAATGCACGGGCATATTGTTAATATATGATATCGGGGACCTTTTTCAGATTCTGTAACTATTCTCAAGGATGGAAGGATGTTGGAGGTCCAGATCATATGGTATGGGTAGGGTCTAGGAGATACAGCTGCTACCCATTTCTTTTCCCACATACAATAAAGGGATGCTTGATGAGCACTGGTTAATATATTGACGACAAACTTTTATGTTGATGTTTCTACTTCTAAGCATCCTTTTCCATTTTCAATGACAGGCACCAGATAAACCATTTTGTATCTACCTTGCAGCAGTATGTAGAGTCACAATTATCTCATGTATCATGGTGCAGGTTTCTTCATTCGCTTGATCATAAGGTTTGAGACGAATGCTTCTAATTGGTATAGCTATTTTATTTAGCTATCATTCTCTGGGCATCTTTTTCTTCAACTCAAAGTACAATTTGTTTTGTAACTGTTTATGGATTGTGTGTTGTAGAAAATTACTTCTCGGGAGTACTGGTTCACACATTGAGTACACTTGGACTTGGGTGCTTATCAAAGTTAATTTTAAAAAAAAAAAATTGTATGTGTTGAGTTTGACTGATACAATTAGGCACAATTTGAATTGTAGCTAGGTATGCCCTATGTATTAGTTAGATCTTGTTTTTCAAAAAGGATTAGTTTTTTAGGTAAATTTAGGGACTTTTTCGTTCTTTTTCTCAATTTTTTATTTTCATTTTTCTATTTAGTATAATCCATTCATCCTCCTTTGTGAGACGTGAGTTTGTTAATATTTTTCATTTTAAAGCCCATAAATAAAAATCTTTCATTATTTCTAGACCCTTTGACCTTGTGATATAACTCTCCCGTATCATTCTGATATCGGATATTAATAGCAATCAAAGGGTAAAACTCATGCTTTGAGTTTGCTGACTGCATCATTGGTTAATGACTATCATGAGAGCTGAATAAGCACAGCTATTTGTTACTTGGTTCTAAATAGCGGAAATCAGATTAGAGGCATCATTTTGTGAATATAATAGTTTGTGTGTGAAAGGATAAATTATTTTTAAAGGGGGCACCTTGTAGGAGAGACTTCTTTCCTTTGTTGTCTAGATTTTTGTTCAACCAACAATATCCTTCATATCTTCTATCTGTCATCTGTTTTTTTATTTCTAACAGGCTTAATGTTAATGCCTAGCATAACATAAGAGGAAATTTTGAAATGTTTTGTTTATTATATGGAATGATTTTGAGATGCTCATGTAGGAACTTATATAAACAAATTTTAAGGCCATCTTAGCTGCATCTACATTAAAATGTAGTAGAAATACAAAAACAACCACATATAAAGGTTTATAGAAATATCATTTTTGTTGATATGTGTTAGATATGATTAGATATTAGTTGATATTATTTGATATTGTTGAGATATTGTTAGATATTGTTAATCACAATATCAAATAATATCTTTTTATTTACCCTATTTGTATTCTGTTACTCTTTTGAGGAGTACCTTTCTTTATTATAAATACACCGCCCTATGTGTGGTAAATACACAAGGGAAATTAACCCTATACAGCTTTTCCCTATATTCAACATGGTATCAAGAGCTTAAGGTCTCTTGGGATTTTTTTCTGGCTCGCCATCGAACCTGCAACTGCCGCCGCCTCCATCGCCGCCGCCGTCGCCACCGCCGTCCGCCGCCGCCGCCGCCGTCGCCGAGTAGCAGTTCGGACCGCCGAGCACGTGGTTTTGCTCGCCTCCTCCGTGCGACCTCCACCGTGGAAGTTTCGCGGCCATCGGAGCAGCCCACGCTCCCTCACGCGCCTCCCGAAGCCGCGCCACCTTCTCCCGTTCCGCCGCGCGTGGTGGCGCGTCTCGCCGCCGTTCAGGCCGCCGATCTTTTGCGCCGGCGTCGCCCCCTTCTCCTCTCTCTCGGATCTCGTCCTCGCCGCTCCAATCGGACCTCTTTGGTGTTTTAGGGTTTTTCTCTCTCTTCCTCCATGGCATCTTCCGCCGCCACTTCCAATCTCGAGTTACCTCCGTCGCCTCCGTGGGTCTCGAGCAATCTGTTTTTACTAATTATGTCAATGTGAATTTACCCATTGATAAATTAGATGGTACGAATTATGCAACTTGGGCATCCGATATTAGACTTTGGCTTGAGAGTCGTGGGTATGTTGATCATCTTACTACCAAGGTAGATGATGTTCCTTCCAATGATCGTGTCCGTTGGAAGAAAGTTGATGCTCATATATGTATGGTTCTCAAGAATACCATCCAATCTTCTTTAAAACAAATTTTTCGATCGTATGGCACATGTTATGACGTTTGGGAACAAACCAAATTATTATACACCAATGACACTCAACGTCTTTATGGTGTTTGTTACAATCTTCTTGATGTTATTGCTCCTCGAGATAAGGATCCCGTGGCGGATTATGTGGATCCTCCTTCGTCTGTACCTTCGGACAAATCCGCTATCTTCAATGATTTTCTTCAATGGTATGAGGATCGAAAGTCCTCCAGCTCCACTACTTCGTTGCCCACACAGGTACATCTTTTGCCTGGTCCGACTCACTCTTCTTCTATTGGCCCTTGGGTTCTTGACTCAGGCGCCACCGATCACATCACTCGGTAACAAATCCTTATTTTCCTCTTTCACTTCTTCTCATAATTTACCCTCGGTTACAATGGCTAATGGGTCTACAACTTTAGCTCATGGTGTTGGAACGGTTACTCTTTTTCCCTCGTTGTCCATTGATAATGTTTTGTATGTACCCGGTCCCCCTTTAACTTATTATCCATTAGCCGTCTAACTCGATCTCTTGATTGTGTTATCTCTTTTACCAAAACTTCGCTTTCCCTACAGACCTGAGCTCGCAAAGAGTGATTGGCACCGGATGTGAGTCACATGGACTTTATTATCTTCAACCTTCTCCACATGTTGGCACGCTTATGGAGTCTCCTCTCCTTCATGCTCAGCCTTGGTCACCCCAGTCTGCGCAAATTACAAGAACTTGTTCCCAGCCTTATCCCAGCTTGTCCAATTTGGTATGTGAGTCCCGTCAGCTAGGCAAACATAGTCGTACTTCCTATTCTCGTAGTGTTTCCCGAACGTGCTTCATCCCCCTTTGCCTTAGTTCACTCGACATTTGGGGACCCAGTCGTGTTAAGTCTAATTTAGGTTTTCAATATTTTGTTACTTTTATTGATGATTTCTCTCGTTGCACTTGGTTATTTTTAATGAAAAATCGTTCGAGTTGTTTTCTATATTCCAAAACTTTTATCATGAAATTAAAAATCAATTTGGTGTCTCTATTCAAACTTTTCGAAGTGATAATGGCCGTGAATATCTTTCAAACTCGTTTAAACAATTTATGGCTTCTCATGGCATTCTTCATCAAACTTCCTCGTGCTTATACCCCTCAACAAAATGGGGTGGTCGAGCGCAAGAATAGACACCTTATTGAAACAACCCGTACTCTTTTAATTCATGGTGAGGTTCCTCAACATTTTTTGGGTGATGTCGTTCTTACCGCCTCGTTATCTTATTAATCGTATGCCCTCTTCGGTTTTAGATAACAAAATTTCCCATTCTATTTTATTTCCTCATGACACTCTCCATCCTTTACCTCTGAAGGTTTTTGGGTCTACCTGCTTTGTCCACAATTTTGATCCTGGTCATGATAAGTTATCTCCTCGATCACACAAATGTGTTTTCTTAGGATTTACTCGATCCCAAAAAGGATACAAGTGTTTTTCTCCTTCTCTTAATCGTTATTTTGTGTCTCCACGATGTCACCTTCAATGAGTTTTCCTTTTACTTTAAGGACCCTTCCCTACCCGCCGAGTCTCCATCTCGCTACGCTTCCCATTCCTGTTCTCATTGATCCTTATGTCGAGGACCATCCACCATTAGCCCCTCCTCCTCCACCACCCCTTCAGGTTTATAGTCGCAGACCTCGCCCACAACAGTACGCCACATGACTCACTCCCAGTGCCAAATACTCGCCTCCTCCGGCTCCGTCCACGTAGTCCGACCTTCCTATTGCCCTTCGTAAAGGTACACGTTCTACTCGTAATCCTTCTCCACATTATACCGCTTTAAGTTATCATCGAATTTCTTCACCATTTTATACCTGTCTCTCGTCTATTTCTTCCGTGTCTATTCCTAAATCTGCCTCTCGAAGCCTTAGCCCACCCTGGTTGGCGTCAGGCCATGCTAGATGAACTCGGTGCTCTTCAGACTAGTGGAACCTAGACGCTTGTCCCATTACCATCTGGAAAAACTGTTGTTGGTTGCAGGTGGGTCTTCGCTATCAAGGTTGGTCCTGATGGTACTATTGATCGCCTCAAAGCTCGCCTTGTAGCCAAAGGCTATACCCAAATTTTTGGGTTGGATTATGGTGATACTTTCTCTCCAGTGGCAAAGATGGCTTCTGTTCGTTTATTCATTGCCATGGCTGCTATTCAACAATGGCCTCTTTATCAACTGGATGTCAAAAATGCTTTCTTGAATGGCGATTTGCAAGAAGAGATTTATATGGAGCAACCTCCCGGATTTGTTGCTCAGGGGGAGTCTTCTGGATTGGTATGTCGTCTTCGCAAATCTTTATATGGCCTAAAACAGTCTCCTAGGGCCTGGTTTGGAAAATTTAGCAGCGTTGTTCAACAATTTGGCATGACTAGAAGTGAGGCAGACCACTCAGTCTTTTACCGTCACTCGAATGCTGGATGTATCTATTTGATAGTGTATGTCGATGACATTGTTCTTACAGGTAGTGACCATCATGACATCTCTCAGATGAAACAACACCTTTGCCACCATTTTCAAACCAAAGATCTTGGCAAACTCAGATATTTCTTGGGTATTGAGGTAGCACAATCTACCAATGGCATTGTTATATCTCAAAGAAAGTATGCATTGGATATTCTGGAGGAAACTGGGTTGATGAATTCAAAGCCTGTTGACACACCCATGGATCCTAATACCAAACTCTTGCCAAATCAGGGGGAGCCAATGTCAGATCCTGAACAGTATAGAAGATTAGTTGGAAAATTAAATTATCTTACAGTTACTCGCCCGACATTTCCTTTGCAGTCAGTGTGGTGAGTCAATTCCTCAATTCTCCTTGTCAAGATCATTGGAATGCAGCTCATCCGTATATTGAAGTACATCAAAAAGTCTCCTGGAAAAGGTTTGGTGTATGACTCCCATAATCATACAAGAGTTGTCTCGCTATTCGGATGCTCGATCGGGCAGATCTCCCTCTCGATAGAAGATCTACATCTGGGTATTGTGTTTCCATTGGTGGTAACTTGATCTCATGGAAAAGTAAGAAACAAAGTGTTGTGGCAAGATCCAAGTGCGAAGTAGAGTATGGAGCTATGGCCTCGGCTACCTGTGAACTTATTTGGCTCAAGCAATTGCTTAAAGAGCTACAATTTGGAGATGTCACTCAAATGACACTAGTGTGTGACAATCAGGCTGCTCTCCATATAAGCTCTAATCCCGTCTTTCATGAGAGGACTAAACACATTGAGATTGACTGCCATTTTATTCGGAAAAGATTATGTCTCGGAGACATCAAGACCGAGTTCGTTAACTCATGTGATCAATTAGCAGATATTTTCACTAAGTCTTTACTGGGACCTAGGATGGATTATCTTTGTACCAAGCTAGGCACATACGATTTGTATGCTCCAGCTTGAGGGGGAGTGTTAGATATGATTAGATATTAGTTGATATTATTTGATATTGTTGAGATATTGTTAGATATTGTTAATCACAATATCAAATAATATCTTTTTATTTACCATATTTGTATTCTGTTACTCTTTTGAGGAGTACCTTTCTTTATTATAAATACACTGCCCTATGTGTGGTAAATACACAAGGGAAATTAACCCTATACAGTTTTTCCCTATATTCAACAATATGGATTTCCCATACTTTCCTTCTACCTCACTCAATTGTCAATTTCATAGTTTTCAGTTTATCATGACTTTGATGGCTAAATCTTGTCTATATGACTTAATAATTCAATTTCTTTATAATTTTTTGGATATTCGTGCCATTTATTATGCAGGTGAAAGATATGATGGATCTTGAATCAGTGCACATGGAATATCTTGCTGATTCATTATGCATGTAAGTTTTACATGTATTTGTTGATTATAATCTATAGGGACAGTTATTGAAAAAGTCAATTAGGGGCATTTTTTTCTGCAAATGGTGAACAAGGTAAATTTTAAAATTTTAATTATTCATTCTGTCTAGTCCAGTCTCTTCTATGTTAAATTTCTACTCAAGTTATTGTTAATCATAGAGTCAACGATGCACATCTTGGTGCCGTTTGCAATGTCTACTGGATAGGGGATCTTGATGTGCGGTCAAAATACTTCATCATTGTTAAGAAAGTTGTATATCATCTATTGTGACAGCTGTTAAAAAGCTGTTTTTTGTTGAATCTAGGAGTTCTGGCTTTTGCCCTATTCACTGTTTTGTACCTTTTTTCAGACGCAAATATGGCCATGGGTTGGGTGAACCATTTGTACAAATGCTGTAGACCATTAGATTTATTAAGAAAATAATAAGATTGTATGCACCAAATTTGAAATATATAAATTGAATTTGAAGTCCTCTCCTCTAGTCAAAATATATTCAAGTTGATCATTGGAGCTGACAAATTGCATGAAATTTCTTTGGACAACAACTTCTCTTGAACAAAATGACAAATTTCTATGTGTTTGGTTTTCCCATGTCGAAACACTGTGAATAGCTACTTGGTTATCATAATATATTGTTATTTCCTAAATTTCACAAAATTTAAGCTATTGGAGAGATTGTTTTATCCATACAAGTTCACAATTGAGTGATGTCATCATCTTTTACTCAGCTTCAGCACTGAGCAACACACTTTATTTCTTGCTTTTTCAAGAAATAAAATTGCCTTGAAAACATAATGTATAGTAGTGAAACACTTGTCTATTGGAGATCTTGTCCAATCAACTTCATAATGCCCAAAGATATGAGTATTTTATGACGATGTGAATGACAACATTCCAATGATCAAGAAGAGAAGCCTGCATAAAGTGACTAACCACGTTAATTGCAAAAGACAAGTCAGATCTAGTCATAATGAGTCAAATAAGTATCACAACAAGTCTTCTATATTTTTCTAGGTCCGTCTTTGATGCGAAATATAATCTAAATCTTGGTGCATGGCATGAAAGACCATAACCATATGGAACTTATCCAACTTCTTCTTAATCTCTTCCAATTAATCAACTTCTAGGAACACCTTCAACTCTTCAGCAGCTCATTTGGTTTCAGCAATGAAAGAAGTCATGTTTGTGATCTATTTGTTCAAGAGATGTTAATTTCTTGGCAGAATCTTAAGGGTATTGAATATCATTTGCAAAAATACTCTTTATCCTTCATCCAAAAAAGAGTTAAAAAGTTTGAATGAATATTCTGAGAGTTCTTATATTGGGTTCTACATATTGCCACAAGAATGCATAAAGTCTGATGTATTTTACTGTTATTTTCTTTCAAGTGATGATAGAAACCTTGACGAACTAACCAAAACTCAACAGATGAAAACCAAGAGAGATCATTTTTGTCATTGTGCTTTTCTGACGTAATTGTGGGAGTCTCAGAAAAAGAAGTGACAGTTATTACAGTTATTGAAAACATTTTGAAGGGAGAATATAAACATTTTATGGTTCCTCCATAACTAAACCAAGAATTTTACAAAAGTATTAAAAGAATTTCACCTTTCAAAGTATCCAATAGGGTACTTATGCTGCTTTCTCATTTCTTGAAAATATTATAACACTCATGAATTGCTTTCTAATACCAGTAGGTGTGATTTTATTTTAGCATCTTAGGGATGAAGCCAACCTTTATGGGTTTAATATTTGGGGAGTGACCAAATTCATTATGATTTTGTAAAATCATTAGGCGAGCTTCATGCAGGTTTTACCAAAAATGTTTTTTTTTTTTTCATGAAACTTACATGAAATTCATTCAATAATAGAGGTTGGAAAGAATGTTTGTAATATTTGCCCATTTAAGTCTTGACACACTTGCCCCATCTTCAATACTAATCCATTTCTCTTCACCTATATTCCAATCGAAGACGTATCAAAGGGTTTCTAAAATATTGACAATTCAAGCATGTTGCATCTTGCAATGGGGTTTTCGAGCAAGTCTGTTCAAAGGCAACAATTTATCACACTGGTGCACAATATTATTGCCACTGGGCATCGTGGCAGCTTCTTTAAGGAAATGGTGTATGTTGATCTTCTTTTCAGACTAGAGGATTAGGGGGAAAAGATGGGCACATGAGATGCATGTGTTTATTCCATCCACATGTAGATGGTTAAAGTAAAACTTTCACATTAATTATTGTTGGATTTATTGTAAAAAGAATGATAAATGTCCAGAAGTATGTTCTATAATTCAACGCTGGAGATCAGCATGTATTATGTGTTGATTGGGTATATTTACTGTTTAGAAGATTCTTAAGTGCTTTTATAACTTCTGGGCTGTATGCAAATAATAAGAAATCACAACTCTACTTGGCAGGTGTGACATCAGCTGTGTCTCAAGAAATCAAGAACATAGCTCAATTTGGTGATGGTTTATTTCCTTTCAGGTATCTTGGGATACCATTGGCAGCAACGAGGCTAAAAGTGTCGCACTTCTCACCTCTAGTTGAAAGGATTACAGAAGCTATTAAAAGCTGGAGTAGTAGCACTTTATCTTATGCAGGGAGGCTCCAACTGCTGACTTCAGTTGTTCAAGACACCCTTTGTTTCTGGATGAGAATTGTATCCATTCCTACCTCTGTTCTTCACAAGATTATTGGCTGGAGCAGGAATTTCCTTTGGGGAGGTTCAAAGAAGCCATTAGTGGCCTGGATTTCTACCTATACTCCAATGAGTGAGGGTGGACTAGGCCTTCTTAATTGGAGTTGCCGGATTTCTACCTATACTCTTTGGATCAGGTGGATCCATCATTATTACCTTCATGGGAACAATTTCTGTTATTTCTCTCCTCTTAGGGATGCTTCCCCTTTGATGAAGAGAATTTGCAAAATCAGAGATGAAATTATCACTGAAGTTGGCTCTTTGGAGACAGTCAAGACTGTGATTGAAGACTGGGCTATTAACGGCACATTCATCGCTGCAAAGGTGTACAATTTCTTCAGACCAAAGCAACCAACAGTTTGGTGGGAGAAAATGGTCTGGAAGAACTATCTTGTTCCTAGACACAGCTTCATCCTTTGGCTTGCTGCCAAAGACAAGCTACTCACAAAGGACAGAGTGACCTATATTGATCAAGACCCCGCATGTCTCTTATGCGGGAGAATGACAGAGACTACAAAGCACCTTTTCTTCAAATGCCAGATTTCTAGCAGAATCTGGAAGCATATTCTCCTTTGGTTGGGCGACAACAGAGGCCACAACTCCCGCAAAGCAGCGTTCAGGTGGCTCAAGTACAACGCCAAAGGTACTGGAATTCAAGCGAAGGCCAAGCACATTGCACTAGCGACAACTGCTTACTTGGTTTGGATGAATCGAAACAGCAAAGCATGTGAAGGAAAGGTTTTCAACACTGATGAAATCCTTGTAAAAATCAAGAGGCAGATCTATTAGACTATCTATCACTTGTATCCTCATATTGATGTAATATCTTAGAACTTAGAGTGTAACATTTTCCTTGTATCTTTTTTATGTATCTTTTTGATGTATTTCTTTGACCTTAGCTATAGGCTTAGCTTGTAGCTTTGTATGACTCAGCTGCCTGGATCTTCCAACACAAGCTTCTCTTTGGGTACATATATACTATTTACATTTGCCCAAAAAAAAAAAGAGCTCTCAGTCTGTCAATCCTTACTATGTCTGGACCTGGTAAGTTTCCCCGTGTTGAGTCAAATTAAGCCGTAGGCTCCACTCCTGGTGGTGCCCTTCTGTCAATTCCTTTAAGTTTCAGCCTTGCGACTATACTCCCCCCGAAACCCAAAGACTTTGATTTCTCATAAGGTGCCAGCGGAGTCCTAAAAGCAACAGGTAGACTTTGATTTCAAAGTCTTTGAGTTCCGGGGGGAGTATGGTCACAAGGCTAAAACTTAAAGGATTTGACGGAAGGGCACCATCAGGAGTGGAGCCTGCGGCTTAATTTGACTCAACACGGGGAAACTTACCAGGTCCAAACATAGTAAGGATTGACAAACTGAGAGCTCTTTTTTTTTTTTTGGGCAAATGTAAATAATATATATGTACCCAAAGAGAAGCTTGCGCTGGAAGATCCAGGCAGCTAAGTCATACAAAGCTACAAGTTAAGCCTATAGCTAAGGTCAAAGAAATACATCAAATAGATACAAGGAAAATGTTACACTCTAAGCTCTAAGATATTACATCAATATAAGGATACAAGTGATAGATCTGCCTCTTGATTTTTACAAGGATTTCATTAGTGTTGAAAACCTTTCCTTCTAATGCTTTGCTGTTTCGATTCATCCAAACCAAGTAAACAGTTGTCGCTAGTGCAATGTGTTTGGCCTTCGCTTGAATTCCAGTACCTTTGGCGTTGTACTTGAGCCACCTAAACGTTGCTTTGAGGGAGTTGTGGCCTCTGTTGTCGCCCAACCAAAGGAGAATATGCTTCCAGATTTTGCTGGAAATCTGATATTTGAAGAAAAGGTGCTCTGTAGTCTCTGTCGTTCTCCCACATAAGAGACATGCGGGGTCTTGATCAATATAGGTCACTTTGTCCTTTGTGAGCAGCTTGCCTCTAGCAACAAGCCAAAGGATGAAGTTGTGTCTAGGAACAAGATAGTTCTTCTAGACCATCTTCTCCCACCAAACTGTTGGTTGCTTTGGTCTGAAGAAATTGTACGCCTTTGCAGCGATGAATGTGTCGTTAATAGCCCATGCTTCAATCACAGTCTTGGCTGTCTCCAAAGAGCTAACTTCAATGATAATTTCATCTCTGATTTTGCAAATTCTCTTCATCAAAGGGGAAGCATCCCTAAGAGGAGAGAAATACCAAAAATTGTTCCCATAAAGGTAATAATGATGGATCCACCTGATCCAAAAAGTCTCAGTACGTGCATGAAACTTTCAGACAATGTTAGATAAAAGACTCTTGTTCCAGCAACTCCAATTAAGAAGGCCCAGTCCACCCTAACTCTTTGGAGTACAGGTAGAAATTCAGGCCACTAATGGCTTCTTTGAACCTCCTCAAAGGAAATTCCTGCTCCAACCAATACTCTTGTGAAGAACAGAGGCAGGAATGGATACAATTCTCATCTAGAAACAAAGGATGCCTTGAACAACTGAAGTCAGCAGTTGCTGTAATCCTCTCAACTAGAGGTGAGAAGTGCGACACTTTTAGCCCCGTTGCTACCAATGTTATCCCAAGATACCTGAAAGCAAGGTTATCAGACTCGAGAGTCTATGTTGACTCGTGAGAGCTTCGTAGACTTGTAAGAGTCTATTTCATATAAAAAAATTTATATAATAATACAAATTCAAAATTTCATCATCACAATTAATGAAAATAAAAAACAATAGTTTAATAATTCTAAAATAACTTGGTTCAACACACATGATTGTTATATAAGTTCAAATTACAGCAAATACATAAGTTAATACAAATCATCAAAACATAAATAACTTCAACTTTCTAGCTCCAATCCTCTAATTATATCATCTCCAACATCATCATCTTCTCCATCACCATCAACCTCTTCCTCAGACGATAAGAGTGCATCATCAACATTGACATCAAACACTATATTATCAAGATCAATTGGCTCTAAAGTAGGATCAACTAAACTTAGTTTAGCTATGTCAACATTTTCCTCATCACCTTCACCTTGAACTGGCTCAATCCCAACATTATCACCATCTTCTGTTATCCATTCATCATCAGACTCAATATCATCAAATGGGAGAGCAATTGTTTTCTTATTTTGTTTATTTTTGAGCTTCAAGTTGTACATGACATAAACCAAGTCATTCATCTTTTTCTGGTGCAAACAGTTTCTTCTTTTTGTGTGAACCTATAAATAAATATGAATGCTTAAATACAAAAAATTAAAAACAAATAATAACTTAACAAATTTGACTTACCATTTCAAATGAGCTCCAATTATGCTCACACCCAGAAGAGCTACAAGTTAAGTTCAAAACTCGAATAGCAAATCGCTTCAACTCTGGAGTTCCATCTCCAAACATCTCCTACCATTCTCCAGGAAGCATAACTTTCCTACAATCTTTTGCATTTTACATTGAGAAAAGTCATTTTGCAAAATGAAACTCTAGAAGTTGTAAATTAATTTTTTTCCTTTTTGCAACATCCTTGACCAATCTTTTCATGCATTCATATAACACTTCTTTTACCTCCACATCATCATTTCTAAAATTAGGTTCATAGGGCATGTGAGGGTTAAGGTAATATGCAGCCGCATGCAAAGGTCTATGAAGCTGATTATTCCACCTCTCATCAATTATGTTCCAAACAGGTTCATAACTACAATGATACAATCATGCAATGTTAGAAATAATTACACAAAATAAAGAATGAAAATCTGAAAGAGAGAAGGTTTATAAATTTTACCTTTTCTTAATATTATTAAAGTTAAATTTGATTTTCTCTTTGGCAGAATCCATTTCTTCATAAATGAAACCCATTGCGGGTTTTATATCTGAATCCACTAATAGAAGGATCACCATCAAAGGGGTAGCAACTTTGAGACAAGTGGTTACATTCTTCCAGAACCAACTATCTAATACCACATGCTCAATTTTTCTCCCTTCTATTGAAGTTCCAATTTTGCTTGATTTCCACTCATCAGAGCTAAAGAAGCTCATCAATGATGCTTTCAATTCATGAAGACATGCAAGAGTTAGATAAGATGTCGCAAATTTAGTCATATTTGGCTTTATCAAGTCTCTACCTTTGGTAAACTTCTTTAACATGCTAATTAGCATTGCTCTACCATAAATGTTAGTAGTGATTCTTCTTCCCTTCTTGATAGTAGTTTGATGGACTTTCAAATGTTTTTCAAAATCTTCAAAGATTAAATCAATGCAATGGGCAGCTCATGGGGTCCAATACAAATGCTCTCGTTTTTGCATCAATAACTCTCCAGCTGCCTTGAAATTTGCAGCATTATCGGTAACCACTTGAACCACATTCTCCTCTCCAACAAATTCCACTACATCATCCAACATCTTAAATACTTTATCTGCAGTTTTTGAGATATCTGATGTATCCAATGAGTAAAGAAACACAGTCCCTTTAGGACTATTGACTAGAAAATTACAAATAGAACGTCTTTTTTTGTCAGTCCACCCATCAGACATGATTGTGCAACCTGTTCTTTTGCACTCCTTATATTCTTCAAGGATTACATCGATTTTTTGCACTGCTTGTTTCAAAAGTTTTCTCTAATATCATGATATGATGGGGGTTTGTAGCCAACTCCATATCTTCCAATCATCTCACACATTTTTGCAAAAGCAGGATTTCTAATAACATTGAATGGAATGACACTTGTGTAAAAAATTCCGCCTCTTGAGCATCAACTTTTTCTTCATCCCCTTTCTTATACAGTTGATTTAAAGTAGATTGAACACCTTGACTGAATTTTTCCTTCCTTTATTTTTGAACATCATACTACTACTACTTTTAATGGTATCCACCTCTTGAATGTGTTCATCATCATACTCATCAATTCTATTTCGTCTTCTTTTCTTTTCTGAAACATCTTTAGCATCTGCCACAACTTTCATCATTACAACTTTCACTTCTTCTGGAACTGAGGCACAGGGTTTAGAATTATATCTAGTACCGACAAGATGATGTTTGAATCTGAAAATTCCTCCATTGAATATTTTTGAACAATAATTACATTTAACTTTTTTTCCATTACCCGAAACATCTGTTTCGTGTTTCCATCCAATGTCGGTCCGGTTTCCTAAAACATTTTTACTTCTAGGTCTAGGAGGTCTAGATAGTGGTGAAGATACATTAACATTGGAATCACAAGAATTTGAAGCAGTCCCTCTTCCAGACATTGCAAACCAGTCTCAATCAACTAAAAATAAAATAATTTATTTTTTTAGAACAACTATAAAAGACGACTAAAATAAAAGATAAAATATGTAACAAAGAATAAATTCTATAAATACTAACTATTCAATGAATAAAAAAATAATATAAAAAAAATTTACCAACTAGATTTTTGGCTTATACTAACTATTCAATGAATAAAGAAATAAATAAATAACATTTTTAAAAAAATTTAGCAACACAGTATTAGAGAAATGCAACGACCCTCACTTACACACCAACGCACGAACCAGACTCGACGGAGCTGCGGCGCGAGGTGACCGAAGTTGCGATGCGAGGCGATTGGAGTTGCGACACCTCTAAGTTGTGGGGCGACGACGCGACGCGACAACACCAGAGGTGTGGGGGGACTGAGCTGCGGGGTGACGATGCGACCAGAGTTGCAATGGGACAACACCAGAGCTGCGGGGCGACGGCGAAATGCGAATACAGAGGTCAGATCTTGTTCGATCTTCTCTTCTTTGATTAGGGTTTTTGATTTGGGTTTCAATCTCTAATTTCGTTTAGGTTTTCGATTTGGGTGGTTGGGGCTTTGGTTTGGGTTTAAAATTGAAATGCTAATGACATTTTCGCTTGTCGTTTTGTCCTTCTCTACGGACTCGGTGACTCGCTCTCAAACTCGCAAGTCTATTCCGAGTTAGCGAGTTTACTCCGAGTCGGAAAAAAAACGAGTTTATACGCAAATTAACCCGTAAATAGTAACGTGACTCGCTGAGTCGTACAGGTGTACAAGTCAACCCGCGAGTTCGATAACCATGCCTAAAAGGAAATAAACCATCATCAAATTGAGCTATGTTCTTGATCTCTTGAGACACAGCTGCCAAGTAGAGTTGTGATTTCTCATTATTTGCATACAGCCCAGAACATGTGCTGAAGTTATGAAAGCACTTAAGAATCTTCTCAACAGATAATACCGCCATCCATTAATTATTGTTGGATTTGATGTAAACTTGATCACCACTTGTTTGCTTTTTGATCATTTACATGCACACTAATGACCAGCGTAACTGTTAGTGTAGTGTTTCAAACTTGTATTAAGTTGGTGTTTAATTTTATTTGTTTGCGTATATATTTGTTTCAGATGTTTTCTTTCTGATGAAACAAAGGCAGTTGGCAGCATTATTGAGAGCATTCTGCAATGTGCGCTCGATTTCCGGTCTTGTATTACAGTCGGTGCTTGGGATTCTGGAAATGATCCAGAAGATTTATTAGGCAAACCTTCTAGAATTAATATATCCCAGGTAAACCAGGCAAATTTCTAGAATCACTATACAGCACTTATCTGGTACATTATGCTTTAGAAAACAAAATTGAATGAAAATACTGTGCGTAGCCCTTTTGTTATTTTAAAATATTTCGGGCTCTTTGACATTTTATACCATAAGAATATCTACATATAATGTGTACTGTATGGCAATATGCTTCCCGATATTCGATAGGGCCTTCTCAATATGCTCATTAGTTGTAGTGTCTGATGCCCTCAGAAGAAACCTAAACTATACCAAAAGGTTTCTTGACAACATCCACACATTAGATAAGATTATCCTATCTGGATTTGTTAGGTATGTTCTCGAATAATTACTCTTAAACACGTGGTAAAACATGTTGACGTATAGTTTGAATTTATTTGCAGGTGCTTTCTATAAAGCAGAAGTTTGATAGAAGTCTAAAAGAACTGCACATATGCTATATCAAGGGACCTAAACATGGGAAAGTTGGGCTTTCTCGTTTCTGGGATTATCTCAACTATAATGAATATTATTCAAATTCAAATGTCAGCAACGAAATGGGGTACTATGTTGTCTGAATTTGCCAGCTTTGAGGATTAATTCGGGTTTAATTCACAGCTTGAGGGCCAGGTTTGAAAGGTCAACACTGCTCTGTGATTGGGTATTCTTTGATTGGAACATGTTAGATTAGAATGACAAGTGCATGTGGTAGGAGTGAATCTCTGTTTTTGCCCATTCACGGCTGTTAGGAATATCTTAATCGATTGTATCTTTCATGAGGGGAAAAGGGGAAAATATAGTCACTGTATTTGTGTGTTTCCTATGGATACAATGTTACGATTTACTTGATAAAAAGAAAAGAGAAAATGTTGAGTGGCTAATTTCTCTCTACTCCGTATTTATTCATAGTTCATTGGTTTAAGTTTTCAAAAAGTAATAGTTTTAAATTATGGTTGAATGATCAATATTAAAAATATGTTTCTATAACCACGAATTTTTAATTTTAATTGCTGATATATAAATTACGTAGCTTAGATTTATAGTTTTTGCATAGATATGATGAAAGTGTTCTCACTAATTACAGTCATAATTTAGTTAACTTTTAAATAAATTCAATTTTAAACCAGCAAATCAATCCAATTTAAAATCAAATCAAAATATATAATGAACTTTAAATTTAATTGTTTTAGTTACGCATTTTTGCGACTCCATCATTATGGTTGAAGTCACCTATAATGAGTAGGAAAACTAAGAGACATTATTTATTTACCCATACTTGACCCCACCCAATAACAGTCCAACGTATTAACAAAATCATATAAATATGCAAGACATTATGCAAATATTTAGGACATAATGTACATATACAAGAAAAAAAATATATATATATATATATATATATATATATATATTAAGACGTTATTAATATTGGGAGAAACTTTAAAATAATACATAATCTAGGATAAATTTAATATTACTAATAAATGTAATGTAAACTTATTTTTTATTTGTTGATTTAATTTTTCTTAATTTGAAGTGGTTATATATATAAAAGAGAGAGGGCGTATCCAGTTAAAAAAATAATTTTTCATGTTTTAAGTCTTAATAAAACATGAAAAAATATAAAAAATAGATATAACTCCATTATTTTAGAAATATTTAGATATGTAGTGTAAGAAGATAAGAGATGATTGATCCATATTATTTTCTTTAAAAAAAAATCGTTCTGTTATATGAAATAGAGTATATATATTTAACCAAATATTCTTCATAAAAAATCTGATTATTCTGTCATAGGAAACAAAGAAATGAATATAATTCAGTAGTATTTGAAGTTTTATTGTTAAAATTTATGTCCTATATATGACGTATTATTTAATTTTAATAATTTTTATCATATAATATAAACTTGTATTTAATAAAAGTTTCGTATAAAAATTAAATTTAATAACCTCACAGCCAAGCTACAATAAAGGATGACAATTTGCGTATTGCGAGCCGAATGGTTTCATCCATTGAATAGATGAGAAAGGTTATCCAAACATTTTACTCACATTTGAAGTATTGTACGTTACTGTATTTGAGTTCTTTATTTGTACATGGATAACATAGCACGACAGCATTTTTAAATAATTATTGTTACTACATATTTCCATAACAATATTATAATAAATATTTAATAAATGAGAGTTTTATTTTACTGACAAAAATAAAAAAATGAAGAAATGTAAAAATAACTTTACAATGTTTTCTATAGCAGACACAAACCATGTCTTTTTATTGATTCTCTAAAAAAACTCCTAATTTTAATTTGTATAATGAAGAAAAAACTGAAATTAAAGCCAACCAATATTTATCTATGGGAATCGACCTAAAATGCATTTTATATTTTATAGAAAAATTAGTGTTTTTGGTATCGACATCGATACAAAATTGTTGAGTTGACTGGATTAAATCATCACATTCGCAGTAAATAACAATTTAAGAAGCTTGGCACGGGCCAGTAACTTTGACGCGTGTGGCAGCACATGATAACTGTTTTGAGGGAATTTTGTATCTTTATCTCTTTTGTTTGGTATATTTGTGATGAGTTCTCAATATATTTTTCTATCTTAAAATAAATATTTAGGAGGAAAAAAGCATATTCTACATAAACTAAAACTAAAATATCTTCATTTCATTAGTTAAAAATAGTGATTTCAATATTTACAACCAATAAGAAAAACTATAGGAGCTGAAATCAAGAACTCATTCATTTTACATTGATTAATAACGTGGAAACCCGATCTTTAAGGAAAAATAAACCTCTTCTAAATAAATCGTAAAACAATTTAATCTTGACTGCCCAGCACAAATTTTTCTCTCAAAAAAGTCTTACAAGAAAGAACATAATGGAGTGACGCATAGGTCTTACTTGTTCATGAAGCGCGTTGTGTCGATGTTTTGGGTTCTTTAGGGTCAAGAAATTACCAGAATATCTGATTGACGCTCGTCAACTCTCCTATCAAGACAACCTGATAAGGAATTGAAGTTTCATCCTTACCGAGACATAGACGTAGCACAAAATAAAACTGGAAAATATTGTTCAGTACACATCCAATTGGATCTGAATGTGCACAAACACGTTACACGCCAGACAGCAAAAGTCAAGACACAGTTACAAGCTGTTCGAACAACCATGAAAAAGAACCCCGAAGTCCTTTTTGGCATATATATTTCAAAGTGCATTGAACAACGATAAGTAGCAAAGTAAATGAAAACAAAATGGCTGTTAAGTGTCCTGTTGCATCAAAGTTTTGTTCCAAAAATCTGTCTAATATTGCCCTGCATATTTTTTGGCATGATATTTTTTGGCATGATCCCTTTGTATGTAGCAATTGAAGAGAGAACTATTTGAAACAGCGTTGGATATTGAGCATCACAATTGACAAACCTTGGCTTGGCCTTAAGATATGATAAACTCATGACTAAATAAAAGTGTTGAATAAAACTACTCAAGGAAAATGTAAGAAACAAAAAGAAACCAGGGTTTCTGATAACAAGTAAAGCTGCGATAAGGTTATACAAGTGATGTACAAGCCATGTAATGTTCCTTCCTTGGTTGGGAGTGTAGAAGATCCCTGTCAGTATGGCGGTGGAGGGTATATTCCTGAATAAAGATCCAGTTAGTAGTTAGGAGGAGAACAAACATGATAGCATTAAAAGATTCTGAAAGAAAGAGCAGAGCAGCAGTAAGTAAAGGACATGAATTAGGAGAAGAAAAATAGTTACCAGGAGAATAACCTGCAGGCGGTGGATATGGAGGTGGTGGATAAGCTGAAGCAGGGGGATAAGAGGGGGGAGGAGGATATGAGGAGGGTGGATAGGGAGATGATGCAGGGTATGAGGGCTGTGGATAGGGAGATGAATGTGAGGGATAGGGTGGGTAAGCTGTGGGAGGTGGTGGGTATGGGGCCGTGGATGGTACTGATGGGTATGATCCAGTTGTATGGTAAGGAGTTGCAGAGAGATGTGGTGGATAGGAGGAAGTAGCAGATGGAGGAGGTGGGTAGGAAGCGGCAGGCGGAGCAGAATACAAAGAAAGGGGTGGAGGAGTTGCTGTTGGCACATAGGGAGGTGCAGAAGGAGCATGGGTTGAACCTGATTTCTGCTGCAATAATCCCATTCCAATAAACTAATTAATCGTCAATGCTTCTCACCCCAGTCCACGCACACACGAATGACCTAATTCTAAAAAGGAAAATGAAAATGTAGGAAGCTCACTTACCCTTTGATTTGCAATTGCATAATGCAAAATGACTTTTACTTCACCAGAGTATCTGCCAAAGGAAATGGAATAGTGAAGGGAGGAATTTTCCATGCCCCCATAGCGTTGGTTATTGGAATAGAATTGATCCAGAGAGGTTAGAATTAGAATAAGGTGATGTGTGTGTGGAGAGGCAGTTGAAAAGGAAATTACCTGCCAGATTTGGTCTGAAGTGGCCAAGCAGAGTCGTCGAAACCTTGAGAGAGAACCTTGTGCAATTGAATCCTGGAGAAGGAAGAAAGAGGGGTGAGATGAGAAGAGAAAAGAGACGAAGGGATGCATGGATATACATACTTTCCGCTTCCGATAAAATCGTCGAAGGTGAGAGTGTTGCTGTTCCAAACAAGGACATTGAGCTCCCGAAGGCCTTCGATGAGGGGAAAGACGAACTTCTCTTGGAAAACGGGGTTTTTTCCGCCGTCTGGATGGGAGGAAGAAAAGGTCAACTGACGCAGAGATGAAAAAGTAGGGAAAGGATGAAATGGTGTTGACCTGTGCAGGTTCTGGTTCGGAACTTAGTGCTCCCATATTCAACACAAACATACGGATCTTGCCTTGAAATCCATTCCGTGTCCTTCAACTTGGAGCACGACACCACTGCCATTCTTAAAAATCCTCTTTCACTTCACAATTTCAAACACAATCCCATATTCATTGAATCGATTTCAAGGGTGGATGGTGGATGTGCTTACCCGTAACCTCCAGAGGTTGACCCTGGATGCCCGAAATCGACATGCCCCGTCCAGAGAGGAGAGCAAGATGCTATTATACCGATTGGAATCGCACTACCAAACCTTCAACTGAAATTGAAATTGAAATTGAAATTGAAGTAGCCCTCCTCCGTATAAACCCACGCGCAAACCCAAAAGCCCTATTGTCCTTTCCACTATCATTATAATTATTGCTATTATTTTATCTATATCCCAACAAGTGAAGTTTCCTTATTTTATCTATTACAAATTTTTACTTGTAACGTATTAGATCATATTTTTCAGTCTGAAGTAAGATTTTATTTATTTTTATAATAATTAATTTTATGATATTTTTATAATAAAAAATGTTTGAAAAAAATTGGCAAAAATAAAGAAATGGTGCATTAATTGTGGTTTTTTATCTGCTGACGTTGGGAGATCGGAAATTGTGGTAAGACGGCCATAATATAATTTAATTCACGGGGTGGAGCAAATCAATATCTGTATGGTTGTCATCCGTTGCATACATTAAAACTCATCATATTTGGGAGTTGAGTTGAGCTGAGACTAATTAACTCCACCACCTACCAAAAAGTAAAGAACTTCATCGAGTGAAAGACATCTCCTGCATGTGCGAACGTGCATAACAAAAGAAAAGGAAAATGCTCCGCTATTGAAGCTTGTGACACTTCACTTTTCCCCAACTATATATAAAGGACATAACTGCTAAAACATTTGGTGGATCAAGAGACGAGTTATAAAGATGGGGAGCATCTACTTCTTGCTAGTATCTGCTCTGTTGCTTCATTCGTTCATGGTAATTGGATCGGGAAAAGAAGCAGTGGAAATTGTCATAGCGAATGGTTATCCGTATGCCTCTCCTCCTCCCCCTACATGCCACCCTCCGGTGAAACGGTTGGAGAGAGGGCGCAAAACTCTGGTGGATTTCACACGTTCAGTGGACGAAAACGAATATACTCGTGCGTGGAGGGGGAGAAACCCATGTAACTTCAAGGGGGTACGATGTGCGTCGTATCCAGACGCAGAAAAGGAATTGGCGATTGCGGGAATAGATCTGAATGGAGCTGGGCTGTCTGGAAAAAACCGCACACCGCTGCTCCTCTCGGGCCTCCTGGACAGGATACCAGAGCTCACCTTCTTCCATGTCAACTCCAACAACTTCACCGGAGGCATCCCAACTGAAATCACCCAGTACAAATATTTCTACGAGCTGGACCTCAGCAACAACAAGCTCAAGGGGGAGTTTCCAAAGGAAGTTCTCCAGTCCACGCAGCTGGTTTTCCTGGACCTCAGGTTCAATTCTCTCTACGGCCCCATTCCGCCGCAGCTCTTTCTCATGAAATATCTCGATGTCATTTTCATCAACAACAATCAATTCACTGGCACTCTCCCCGATACCTTTGCCTCCACTCCTGCAAGATTCCTCACATTTGCCAACAACCAACTCACCGGTCCAATCCCCCCTTCCATCGGCTCTTCCAAAAACCTCACCGAACTCCTCCTCTTGGGCAACCACTTCCAGGGCTGCTTGCCCTACCAGATTGGCCTCCTCCACAAGGCCACCGTCTTTGACGTCAGCAACAACTGCTTGACGGGCCCCATCCCACACTCCTTCGCCTGCTTGGATAGCATCCGCTACCTCAACTTGGACCACAACCGGTTCTACGGTGAAGTTCCCGAGACGGTGTGTCAGCTCCCAGGGCTCCGCAACAGAGGCAACTTCTCCTTGTCGGACAACTATTTCACCCAGGTTGGCCCTGCATGCAGGAGCCTCATCGACAACAATGTCCTCGACGTCAGCAACAATTGCATCCTCGGCCTTCCCAATCAAAGGCCCCATGACCAATGCTCAGAATTCTTCTCCGACCTCCAGCCCTGCCCCGATCGCAAGTCTCTCAATTACGTCCCATGCAAAAAATACTATCCCCGCACCCACGCCGCCTCCGCTCCTCCTCTTCCTCCTCCGGTCACTTACAACTCTCTCCACCCCCATCTTCACCGCTAGCTTAGCCTTAATATCTGTCCATGTCATAGCACCTACTACAACTGCATCACCTCCATTAATTAATTTACTTATGTATGTATATGTATCTGTATGGATGTATTTCCCGTCTATCTTTCATTAATGAATAAGCAGTTTGTTTATTTGTTTCTACTCCATGCATGCTATGTAATTTGCAGAGACACACAAATCAGAGCTTCAGTCTCATTGCTTTTATATCACCATTAACTATTTTAATTTCTTTTTCGTTTTAAAAAACAAATTTATTTGGGTCAAACCAATCTATATTTGCCAAAAATACACTTATAATTAAAAATATATAAAACTTAGAAAATGAAATATGAATACACAGGTTGAATTCGCGAGTAATAATCGCACTCAAGTTTATGATAATTTAATATTTATTATTCTCATTACATCCAAGGAATAAATACATATTTTAAAATCGGACCAATGACGTTAGTTTAAAAGTTTAATTAAAACTTAATTGGAATTCAATTAAATTTAAATAAATAATAAATTTTAATAACATAAATATATAATAAATTTATTAGAAAAAACTATAATAATAATGGTTGATGATTTCATAAATTATAGTAAAAATTATATATAATAATAATAATGAACTTTATAACTGTGAAGATATAAAGAAAATAGATTAAAATAATTATTATTTAAAATTAGCATAATTAATATAAATAAAAAAATAAAAATATTATATATTTTTTTATAAAAATTTGGCTTTTAAAATTATTTTTTTGAAAAATTACCTTTAATTTTTTTTATTTATTTTAAATCTAAAAATTCGTAAGATTTTTCTAATTTTGTATAATTTTATTTTGTAAAAAACAATGAACCAATTAAAGTGCCAATTAGCATATATTATCTCGCTCGATTCCATCGTACGGTCTCCAGGCAAAGGGGTAAGTTGTGCCATGTTTGTTTCTTTGGTTCCACTCATTCTCAAAACTGTTGCTTATTTTTATTGTTTGTCCAATAAGTATGTAGGTGTGGAAGGGGTTAGGGATTTGAAGTATTATTAACCCAATATAAAAAATAAGAAAAATATAATTTGACAACCCAAATCCATTCAACTTTCATAAACAACTCTGTTTTAATATTATAATAATAGTTTTATTTTATTTTTATTTTTATTAAATCAATCTATAAATTATTATATTAATAAAAATGAGTTGTTTAAAGAGTTAAATGATTTTTGGTTGTCAAAATGTGAGTACTCACAACAAAATAATAAAAGTATTTATTCGACGTTTAAAAAGAATATTCCTTAAGAGTATATCAGATTAATTCCAAAAAGTCTAGATTCTTCATTTCAATCTTTTTGATTGCTTCTGGAATGCCTAGGAAGTTTTAATAGAAACATTACTGAATGGAGAATGAGCACAGAGTGTATTATAGTTTAAAATAGAATACAACATTGATAGTAGAATGAATGGATTGGAGTGAGGTAAAAAAACTAATAATTAGTGTGGAAGGTGTGCAATGGAGCGAAGGTGTTGTATGAGATCAGTGAGGTAACAGAAAGATGATCCATTGCATTCCACAGCAGTTCTTGCCATTTGCGCCAGTTTATGTGCTCTGTTTCTCCTAGCCTCTGCTTCTTCCCCAACCATTAGACGATTCAGTGCCTTTACAAGAGCCTCACTGGCTACGTTGTCACCCACAATTCTAGCCCATTTTTTAACACCAACAGGGACCCCAATTTTAAGTACCTCGCTCACAAACTTTTCATTGTAGAATTGTTCAGCAGAAACGGGCCAAGTGACCATGACCACCCCAGCGGACACTGCTTCAAGCGTTGAATTCCATCCGCAGTGTGTAACAAAGGCTCCCACGGCTTGATGGTCCAGAATAAGCACTTGAGGTGCCCAACCCCAAATAATCACTCCTCTTCCTTCCGTTCTTCTCTCAAACCCCTCTGGAAGCCATTCCCTGTCGCTTCTCCTCACAACCCATATGAATTGTTGTCCCGAATCCTCAAGTCCCCTCGCTATTTCTCTCAACTGACTTTCACCGAAGTTGGCTATGCTTCCGAAACAAACGTACACCACTGTGTTGGCTTTCTTAGAGTCCAGCCACTTCAAAATGTCACCTTCGTCAACCGAAGCTTCCTTTCCTCGCTTGCCTTTCTCTTGGTTTTGGCTGCACAGAGAAAGCGGACCTATGTACCACGCCCTCCTTCCCTGTAGCTTTTCGTAATAAATAGCGTACGCCTGCTCCAGTTCGTAAAAGCTGTTGACAACAACCCCCAAACTTGTGGCCTCTGATTCCTTGATTGCCAGCAAAAGTCTTGTGATGTTCGTTTCCCCGTCAGCTTTAGCATAATCGGGCAACATCATCCTTGTCATTTGGATGTTTCCTGGTAGATGGGGAATGACAAATGGGTCAGAGTCAGAAGAAAGATTGTTGTGAGGCTGGTAGAGTCGCAGACATTCTGAAGCAGATAAGGCGAAGACACCGGTGCCATGAAAGACAAACCGTGGGATATTGAAATTAGCGGCAGATTGAGATGCCCAGGGGTAGAAAGAACTGGCAATAAGGCAATGTGGAGGGTGTTGAAGAATTAGCTGTTCCAATTGGGTTTGTAGCATGGTGGTTGCCTTAAAGAAAAGGGGTACGAAGTCTGGGGAGGGGATTGACTCTGTATTTTCGCATCCCTCAGGTAAACCAGCCTCTACACACGGGAATTTCATGCTTACGATTTCTAGGTCTGAGTCTGAGTCTGAATCAAAGCTTTTTCCTATGGTCCCGCGAATGGTGGGTACGTTGAGTGGAGTGGTGACTATGGTTGCCCTCACCCCTCTTCCAATGAATGCCCTTGCCATATCACTCATTGGTATCAAGTGTCCCTGACCCAGAAACGGAAAAAACATTACGTGTAGTTTCCCTTTCCCATCCATATTTCCGAGTCACTCACTCACACTAACGAAATACACTGCATTTTATTTGCCCTTCTAGCTGCACAATATATAGCTACTCCGTTCTAAATTGTTTTGAAGCTTCTAATTTTCCAACATAACATTATAAAAATATATCAGATCGATCACAGTACAATACAAGAAGGTGGGTCTTACACTTGGTCAAAAAATAAAATACATATATGCTTACTCGATTCAATTGCTTTCGAAGTTCAATTGTATGGTTAAGGGCACTTCTCGTCTGTTCAAAAGTCAATGCTGAATACGTACTCCCTTGCGTCAGGATGTTAGTAGACTTCGTAATCCCTTGCGTCAAACCATGCCCTTTGGTACTAACACGCTGTTTTGAATGATTTTTTATCCACATATCCTTCCAAAAGGTTGGATGGATAACAAAAATCTAAACAGAATAATTATGTTTATGTTCAAAGAATTTATATCTTTTAATCTTGTATTATTCAGCGCTAAACGCTGAGATGAAAGAGACTATCCTATCATATTGCCGCTTGTTTTTTCGACATTTCCAATCCTTTGAACTTACTATCTTCAAAGCTTTTTTAATAGAAAAATGACATGTAAATAACCATTTTAGAAAGATACACCAAATAGACAACCCAATAATACCTTTTTAATATGCCATACACATAATGTCTACCGACTTTCGGTGGAAGTGTCATCACCTGTTAAATTTGTATTTTATAAAAAAATATCTTTTATACCTAGTCTAAACCAATTCTAGCTTATATAAGTCATATAGGAAACTTAAGGAGAGCCGGATGTCTCATAAATAAGTCCCATAACATCAAAGAAAGTAAATGTATCATAATGTAAATCAATATTCACATACAGTAATGTTGGCCCAATTATCAAAATCAAAATTCTCCATGCGTCAGATTTTGGCCATAACCTGCTCCTTCATTTCAAGCAATGCATCTTCAAAACACTTGGCAAGAAACTCAGGATCGGGAATGATGTCTTTGGCCACCTGCACTTGCATGTCTGCCCTTCCAGCATAGCTCACCATATTCAAAATCAGTGCCTGCATTACCAAAACCCAGCCACCAACAATGAACATAACTATATTCATCTACAACTATACTCCAGTGTTTGAAGTGCTTAAGGCTGTGAGGAAAAACAGAGATTAGGGGCCCTACATGTGGCAAGGCAGAATTATTTGCTCTAAAGAACGTTATAGGATTGCCTCCAATCATTATCTCCTCTTGTGGACCAACCACGTTTGAGATTGTAAAGGTAGTGTGGCAGAGTATCCGGTAATTCAGAAGGCTGGCAAACTGCAATTTAGAGATAAAATAGCATTGTGTTTGCTGAAGACTAATGACAGTTTAAATTTTCTACTTTACCACCTAAATAATCTAAAATCAAGGAAAGGAAGTGCACCTTTGGGCCAAGGGTGGACATTACTAAATCTCCAATTTTGTACGAGAAACTGGCTTCCAGAGATCGTTTCTTTCTGTCAATGGTTGTCTTAGCTCTCTTCAAATATTCTAAAGGATCTGAAGTGTTGCTTCTGTGATAATATATTGGCAGGAGAATCATACCAAATTTGTTACCCCACCTTGCTCCTGAATTGCTTTTCATCAAATTGGATAATTCCTGCTCAATAATAATAGTCCATTTTAATCCTACTTCAGTAAAATTGTAGATCGAAAACAAGTGTAGAAGGAAAGTAAATCTGGAGAAGACAAGAGTAGACCTGCAATCCTGGCTGCTTTCTTAAATTAACCATTGCTAACCCTGTTAGCTGAACACCGTCTCGCAACCCTTACAGAAAACAAATATTATTCAATCAATGATGATTATGTGTTTGTGTGAAAAAGGTCTTTTACATACAAGTGGAAATAAAGGGGAACACTATTTTGACACCTAATTTTGTAAATAACCTTCAAATAACTTGATTTTAATATTATAATAATAAATTTAAATTATTTTTATTTTTATTACATCTTATTATTATTATTATTATTATTATTATTATTATTATTATTATTATTATTATTATTATTATTATTATTATAACAAGAATAGGTTATATGGAGGGTTGTTTTTGATGGAGAGTGTATTTTCACTAGAAAGTACAAAAGAATTTTACCATTAGGTGCTCGGAAGTCCAGGTATCTAGATATCCCAGATGATATAACTGCAAATAGGACGTCATTTATGGTCTGCACAATAGCAAAATTAACAACCACTACAACCAAAAGTATTCATAAATACTAAAACATATGTATGTTCAGGAGAAGGAAAAGTGAAGTCAGTCATTCGCTGATTTATATCATATATTATTGCGGATGAATTGTCAGTCAGTCCCCTGCTTTGTAAACCAAATGTAACTGAAAAAAAAGATGTGAATTGGAATATCCGGCGAACATCATGTTAATCTGGTTTCACATTCCGTACTAGCAATTTATTGCATAAATTTAAGATCATTCAAACTCAAAAACATTTCAAAATCTTCAAATCATCAACTGCTCAACCCAAAAAAAAAAATGTTCTATTAATTACTCTCTTAAAGAAAAACATTTTTACTAAAAATTAACTTGAAAAACCCTAAAAAAAACCTATACTTCATAACATCTTGTTATATATCTTTCCTTAGTTGTCTTTTGGAACTGATTACCTATGTAAATCATTGATTTTATATATTAATCATTTAGAAACTAATTGTCTGTTTTAATTCCGAAGGGTTCATATTGATTTTATATATATTCTTCTGTTCCTTTCAGTGCAATGTTTACTTCCTTCCCATAAAATGTGCAACTCTACTCCTCTAGTTAGTATCCATTTACCCATAATTATCAAGTTATGTTCTTATTACATTAAGTTTGTTGTTTTTAATAAATCCTATTTACAATCAAGTATATGTTAAATTAAATAAATTAATTACTAATTAAAAGGATCTAAGAAATAATGTTACATCTCTAAAACCAAAACGGTGAACTATTAAATATAACTTCAAAAAATTACATAAAAAATTATTTTATAAGTTCCTTTGCATCACATTTTAGTTTAGTTTAAGCCCCCACATGGGCATATGGAATATTATTTAGCATCATGCTGGCCAGTTGGAATTCGACATCAAGATGAAAATCTAATAATTGAAGTTTCCAAATCCTATCATATGCTCCCTCAAAAAGATATATGTGAAAAGTCTTTGACAAGACAGATGGCGAGGCCACTTGTGAAAGATAGAAGTTGATTGGTGTTAAACTTTTTATGCTAAGGATATTTTAACATTTAATAAATTTCTCATTAAAAAAATAATAAAAAACCTATCCAACAACTTTTTCCACGTTAGACCTTTTTAATCATAAATGGTATATTATGATATTAGTCAGTCAAGATGTGAGATCGAGGAAAAAGTCGACGTTAGTCAGTCAAAATGTGAGATTGAAGAAAAAGGCCGATAGGTCAAATAAAGCAGAAATAAAAAAAATACTATAAAATATTAACTAAATTATTTTGTTTGAATATTGTTTTTAAGATATATATTTTTAACTTTGTATCTCATTACAATCTATCTCCACCTTTTTCATTTTTTAGAAAATAATGAGTTGTGAATTTGTGATGGCTAAAATAGGGTAAAATAAATGAAAGTAGTGAAAAAGTAGAAATGAAAGACGAAGAAAGTAAAGAAAAATAATTCTATTTGTATTTAGTAATAATAAGAATAAAATAAAGACCAGAGAAATTAAACAGTGAAGGTGGAAAGGAATATTTACCGCATTAACAGCAGTCTTGACGGTCTTCATGTCTTGGAGGGAGAAAGTGGCAGTAGCTATTTTGCGGGGCCAGAGCTCGACGCCGGCGCCACCTGATATGGTGGATTTGGGGTCACAAATCCACAAACACTTAAGGATAAAGTCGAGGGAAAAGACGAAACAAAACCAGAGAGTGACAAGGAGATTCCAGAAATTGAAGAGGATAGAGGAGGAGGAAGGGTTAGAAGTATGTGAAGTGGTAGATGCAGCAGCGATGGTGGGGAGGGCTTGGGGATCATTGAGTTTCCTGCAACTGGCGAGGAACATGGACATCAAAGAAATGCCATCTCCCAGGGCGTGATGGATTCGAAAAATAATGCACTTGTGGGCCATGAGAAGATGGATTTCCCAGAGGGGCTTCTCCATGCTAAGCCCATCACTGTCTATGGATAATTCAGCAAGGTAGTTGTTGATGGCCCTTTCATTCCCTTCCTCCCCAAGCGCCTCGTCGATTACGCGCACGTGCCGATCGATGTCTATCTGAGTGGGCCGCCAGTGCTCCACTCCTCTTTTGTCTCTCACCATGAGGCTGGTGAAGCGCGGGTGCTGGAGCATGGTGGAGTTCCGCACTTCCGATTTCACCAACTCCACGTGGATGGGGTTCTTCAACCCTATCACACAGTGAATTACTTGCTTCATTTCTTTCTGCAGGAACAGCCTCCCCGCGGGAGTTAGAGCTTCGTCCCCTCTCTCACCCATCCTCTCCTCTCCTCTTCTCTCCACCTCTGACTCTTCCTCCCCTCTTTATATAGCTCACCCTCACCACCACTTTTCTTTACTTCTTCCTTTTTTACATTCATCTTTCCAACATCAACCTTTCTGTCCTTTTACTTTCTCCCCTCTTCTTCACACTTTTCATCCGTTTCATCCCTAAAGTAAATCTTTTATATCTACAATAATCACAATTTATAAAACTAAATATCTCAAATAATTATAACTATATTATACATTAAAAAAATGAGAAACTTGATTAAATTAGAAAGCATCACATTATTATTTTTAAAAAACATAAGCCTTTTGTTAAATACTAAATCTACAACATAAATTTTTTTCTGTAAAATAAAGCTCCATAAATGTTATCAATTATGCTGAGACATTTGGCATTATTTGCTATTGTTTCCTGTCTGTCAGTCCAAATACTCCATTCTCCTTGAAATAGATAAAGAGGTGCAGTGTTGCAAAACAGATGCATGTGCTTTATTGCAAAACAGATGCATCAACAGTAAAACTCCCCTGACCAAATCTAAATGTACTTTTATCAACATGTTTAGTTGTATGTTTTAAAATTTGTAATGAATAAAGAGGTTTTCATTTTTTTAATATCTAGTTTCAAAATAAATTTATGTTCGGTTTTTATTAAACTAAACATGTATTAACGTGGTCAATGATTATAAAAATGAAAGTGAGGTAAAACTGATTTGAGGTCAATTTTCGAAATAATATAAAATAAAATAAAATAAAAATGGGCAACTACCTTTTCTGTTTGTATTGAATGTAAGTGCAGAGAAATAGTTACGTATCCATCAGGGAGGCTACTTCCACATGCCGCCATTGATGATGTTGCGACTCCAATTACATCTGAAATTTTAGTCAATAAACATATTTTTAAAACTAATGTATATTTTTAGCTATTCCAATAAATAAGAAAGTAAAAGCGTTTTCGGCATCAGCATACTTTTGGAGCAATTCCCACCATCCTATTTCTTTCATTTTCTATTCTACTCCTCAAACTAGTATACATAACACACATTTTTTTACATGGTTAAATTATATTAAAAAGTATCAAATCATTTTTGATTATTGTTCGAGTTGTCTGACCTAAATAGTCTAGTGTTTTACTAGTAAAAGGATAAAGTGATTTTGTTTTTATTTTATCAAATTACCAATTTCTTTTACTTCTCTCTTTCAAAGTAACCAATCAAATGATTTTTTTTCCTTAATTTATAAATTCAACTAACATATATTTCACTTGAAATTCAATCATATATTTTTACATTTTTTTTATTTATAATTAGAACCCTATAATCACATTTGTTTAAATACAATTTGTAAAAAGAAAACATATTTTGAGTAAATCTTACTGGGTAGTGAGTTTTGGGATAAATAAAAGGTATAAATTTAAATGAAAAGGTTTGGCGGGGAGGCGTGAGGTGAGAATGGAGGAAGAAGAAGATGAAGTGGTTTGGTGTTCTTCTGATTCGGGCGATGACGAGGATAATATCGAAGAACGGAAATCTCAGAACGTGGATGCCCTGGTGAGGTAAGTAAGACATGAATTAATTATCATTCCATTGGCTTTGAATTGAATTGCATCGCATCGCAGGGGCAACCTCGTCGTGAAGAGACAATCGTTGCTACCCCGACTTCTATCAGTATCGCAAGGGGCGGCTGTTTGTAGAAAACCCTTTAAACCTCCATCCTGCAAATCTCATGCTTCCACTTACAATCAAGACCTTACTCGTAGGCTTTCCGCTCGCAAAAGGTTTGTTCCCTGGGGTTCTTCCTCTCCTATTCCTAGACCCGCGTTCCCCGACTCCAAATTCATTGCACCAGTAATTGAGAATGTTGATGTTCCTGTTTCTGAGGAGCTGAAACCATCTTTGCCCCCCGGTATCGACCCTCTAGTACTTTGGCACCCTCGAGACTCCCAGGATGATCCTTCTAATGCTAATTTCACCACCATAACTGTCGACCCTTTGCTTGTTCGTTACCTTCGTCCCCATCAGAGGTCATCATCATTGCACCCCATTGCTCATACTTTAGCAACATTCAGTATTAAATCAACCAAATAAACTTTTCTTTTATCTCTCTTGATGCAGAGAAGGGGTTCAGTTCATGTTTGATTGTGTCTCAGGGCTGTCTAGCACACCAAATATACATGGATGCATTTTGGCAGATGATATGGGGTACCTTCTTTCTTTGAAATCTTGTCATGGTTACGGTATCCTTTTCTTTCTCCCCACCTTCTTTCATTACAGGGTTCCCCTTTGTTGCACAGTTTGGGGAAGACATTGCAGTCCATCACATTACTTTATACTCTACTTTGTCAAGGGTTTGATGGCAGTCCATTGGTTCGAAAGTCCATCATAGTGACTCCTACCAGCCTTGTCAGCAATTGGGAAGCTGAAATCAAAAAGTGGGTTGGCGAAAGAGTTCGTCTTGTTGCTCTGTGTGAAAGCACAAGAGAAGATGTTGTCTCTGGGATTGACAGTTTTACAAGTCCCCAAAGCAATTTACAGGTGAAATGAAATTTCTAACCATTCTTAGCTTGAACTACACATGTACTCAGTCCGTATCCCCATTTTGCAGGTGCTCATTGTTTCATATGAAACATTCCGACTGCATTCTTCAAAGTTTAGCTCTAGTGACTCATGTGACCTGCTCATATGTGACGAGGCTCACAGATTGAAAAATGATCAGACAATAACAAATCGGGTATTGTAATTTGTAGGACTTATTTTCTCTCCCTCCTTTACTGGCAGTTTTCTGAGTTTCTCACTAAACTTTCTGGATTAGGCATTGGCAGCTCTCCCCTGCAAACGTAGAATTTTATTGTCTGGAACTCCCTTACAAGTGAGTATTTATACATGATTATCCGTCTGTGTTGTCAAATTCAATCCAAACTCCTCATATTGTTTTATTATTTTAAATTGTTATGCACATACGTCATTTGCAGAATGATTTAGAAGAATTCTTTGCAATGGTTAATTTTACCAATCCTGGAATATTGGGCGGTATTGCACATTTTCGACGTTACTATGAGGTACATTGATTACTTTTTCTATTTCAGATGCACATGATGCCTTTTTCTAGTTTGGATGCATATTGTTTCGAAATCTGTGGCTCGTCCTATGTCAAAAACTCAGAATATACCAGTAATTAGAAGAGGAGTTATCCCGTTGTTAAATATAATATATAGTATTTTTGGAATATTGTGTTACACGCTGATAACAAGATAAACCAACATCAGTTTGCTTTCATGAGATGTGATGCTGGAATGGGTTATATCCACTTCTATTTTCTTCTAATATAGTTTTCTTATTCCTTACATGGATTTTGAAGGCACCTATTATTTGTGGAAGAGAACCTGCTGCCACTGCAGAAGAGAAGAAATTAGGTGCTGAACGCTCTGCTGAATTAAGTATCAATGTTAATCAGGTAATGCATGTGATTGAGGTATCACTCTGTACTTGTACAGAGCTGTATTATTATACATTTCTTTTTTTTTTCTTTTTTTTTGGAAAACTTAAGTTAAGCAAAAGCATTACTATATAACATGCAATCCCAACTAGTTTGGTACTCCAAGCTATAACGATCCTTCTTAATAACCAAAATAATCTATCATACAGAACTGATAGCTGAATGGAAGTGAAGTGCAGCTACTTTCTTTTGTGTTCTGATAAGACAATATTCTTCTGTTTTCCTGAAGATTTATCGGACAATATTTTGCAGTTCATATTAAGAAGGACTAATGCATTGTTATCAAATCACTTGCCACCAAAGGTATTGCACTTTTCTTTATCTTTCTGCCAAACTTACTGAATTGTTCCACCGTTCAATCACACGATCTTTTGCTTTAAACAAAATCAATAATTATGTGTGCAATCTTTCCCCCCTGTAATTTCAATGGTAGCGTTCTTGTAAACATAATTCTCTTACCTAACATTGAATAATTAGAAAAGTATGCACTTGTTTTTTGTATTATAAAGGAAGAAATTCATTAAGACAAAGAGAAAAGTACAAAGAATTAGGAGGATAAGAGATCCCTTTTAGAAAAGAAAAAGAAAATAAACAGTAGAGACCAAATTAAACCTGAATAAATCAAAGCTGCCTGATCCTTCTATGTATCTGTATGAGAAAAAAATTCTAAAAGACCATACACCAAGTAGAGGTTAATCCTCGAATGTTTTCCCAAGGAAGCTTCTCATTTGAAATAACACAAATTGTAGAAGTTTGTTGATTCCCTCAGCCACTGGCCAGATTAAATAAAGTTGCTTTTACATACCAAGAAATCTTTAGGATTTGTTTATAGAATCCGATTCCATGAGAAGGTAGATTTCACACCTTTATTTATTGATACATTTGAACATATTTTGATTTGTAATATATTATCACATTGACTGAGGCTAGGGCCCTTTAAGCACATGAAAAGTAACTGTGTAGGTAATTGGTGGTTATCTGTGATCTTAATCCACAACCCATTTCTTGTGGTGCAGATAGTTGAAGTTGTTTGCTGCAAGTTGACTCCACTCCAGTCAGACCTATATAAACATTTTATACAATCCAAAAATGTAAATTCCAATTTTGATTGAGCAAACATATTTTTCACTAGGTATTTTGCACTGTTGGACATGGATAAAAAAATATCACCAAAACTAAATGGATAAATCCATGTCCTCAAAACACAGGTTAAGCGAGCAATTACTGAAGAACTGAAGCAATCAAAGATTTTGGCCTACATAACAGCTCTTAAAAAGTTGTGCAATCATCCTAAGGTATGATCTGGATCGTTTTTTTTTTCTCTGGAGGAGGATGGGGTAAACTTGTTTAATTGGTCCTGTCTGAATATTCTTTTGGATAAAATTCACTTTGTAACTATTTCTTGGGACCATTTTTTCCTCATACACAATAATATATTATGAAAGCTCATCTCTTGGTGCCGTTTACATTGGCAAGTTGATTTTTTTTAACCTTTAATTTTCTTCCATTTCTTCACAAAATATAGTGTCTTGTAGCTTATTTATGATACCATACGAAGTGGAAGCCCAGGGACTTCGGGTTTTGAGGACTGTATCCGATTCTTCCCACATGAAATGTTATCTGGAAGGTAGATATTTTTAGTTTAAAATTTCAGCTATTCATTTGACATCTTAATTTACTCATCCTATAAGGGTATACATTGTAGGTCTGGCACCTGGACCGGAGGGCATGGAGCATGGGTTGAACTATCCGGGAAAATGCATGTCTTGGCAAGATTACTTGCTCATTTACGTCATAGAACAAATGACCGCATTGTCCTGGTCTCAAACTACACTCAGGTATATGGTAACAAATGTGGAGCTAAATTGAGGTTTGCTTTTTTAATAACTGTTGTACCTGACCTATGTGACTGTTTAGAATGAATTAAGATCTGTTGAATATAGTGAAAACTAGGAATAAGGGTAATTTTTCTTGTGTGTAAAATACACATAGGGTAATATATTTATAATGAAGAGTAATACAGGGAAATATAACAAATACACATAAATATGGTAATTATAAGATATTGTTAGATATTGTGACTAACAATATCTATATCTAATACTCTTCCTCAAACTGGTGCATATAAATCATATGTACCAAGCTTGTTACAAATATAATCAATTCTAGGTCCCTGTAAAGACTTGGTGAAAATATCTGTTAACTGTTCACTTCAGTTAACAAACTTGGTTTTAATGTCTCCAGATACAATCTTTTCTCGCATAAAATGACAGTCAACCTCAATGTGTTTGATCATTTTATGAAAGACAGGATTAGAGCTAATATGAAGAGCGGTCTGATTGTCAGATCTAAGTGTCATTTGAGTGACATCTCCAAATTGTAACTCTTTAAGTAATTGTTTAAGTCAAACAAGTTCACAAGTGGCTAAGGCCATAGCTCTATATCCTGCTTCTACACTAGATCTTGTCACAACATTTTGTTTCTTACTCTTCCAAGAGATGGAGTTACCTCTAATAAAAACATAGTATCCAGAAGTAGATCTTCTATCAGAAGGAGATTTTGCCTAGTCAGTATCTGAATAACAGATAACTTTAACCTAGTTATTATGATCATATAACAATTTTTTTCCAGGAGATCCTTTAATGTACTTTAATATACGGATGACTGCATTCCAATGATCTGTACATGGGAAATTAAGAAATTGACTCACCACACTGAATGTAAGGGAAATGTCAGGACGAGTAACAGTAAGATAGTTTAATTTTCTAACTAATCTTCTGTACTTCTCAGGATCTGAAAGAGGCTCCCCCTGATTAGGTAAGAGTTTGGTATTGGGATCCATGGATGTGTTAACAAATTTTGAGTTCATTAACCTAGTTTCCTCTAAAATATTAAATCCATACTTTCTTTGAGATATAACAATACCATTATTGGATTGTGCTACCTCAATCCCTAAGAAATATCTAAGTTTGCCAAGATATTTGGTCTAAAAGTGGTGACAAAGTTGTTGCTTCGTCTGGGAGATGCCATGGTGATCACTCCCTATAAGAACAATATCATCAATATATACTAATAAATAAATACACCCAACACTTGAGTGACGATAAAAGACTGAATGATCTGTCTCACTGCGAGTCATACCAAACTATTGAACAACACTGCTAAATTTTCCAAATCAGGCCCTAGGAGACTGTTTTAGGCCATATAAAGATTTGTGAAGAGGACATACCAATCCAGAAGACTCCCCCTGAGCAACAAAACTTAGAGGTTACTCAATATAAATTTCTTCTTGCAAATTTTCATTAAGAAAAACATTTTTGACATCCAATTAGTAAAGAGGTCATTGTTGAAGAGCAGTCATGACTATGAATAAGCGAACAAAAGTCATCTTTGTCATTGGAGAAAAAGTATCATCATCGTCCAAACCAAAAATTTGTATGTAACCTTTGGCTATAAGACGAGCTTTGAGATGATCAATAGTACAGTAAGGACCAACTTTGATAGCAAAAATCACCTGCAACCAACAACAAATTTCCCAGACAGTAATGGGATGAGCTCCCAAGTTCCACTATTCTGAAGAGCACTCAGTTCATCAAGCATAGTCTGACGTCAACCAAGATGGGCTAAGGTATCACCTACGGATTTTGGAATTGACACAGAAGAAATAAATAAAAGGCATGTATAAAAAGGTAGAGATAATCTATGGTAACTCAAAGCAATATAATGAGGAGAGAGATTACGGGTAGAACGTATACCTTTATGGAGGGCAATTGGAAGATCAAAGGAGTTGGTACTATAAGTTAATCATTTGGTGGTTGTTGAGATCACTGTCTTAGATTATAAACCTAAAGTGGTGGTGGCGGAGGAGTATCCGAAGGTGAACTAGGCACAATAGGAGGATCACACACAATAAAAATATTGACTGTAGTCTGTAGTAGACAAAGATACATACGGAGAAGGACACTTAAAGTAAAATGAAGACTCATTAGAGATGACATCTATAGAAATAAAATAATAGTTAAGAGGAGAGAAACACTTATATCTTTTTGTGATCGAGTAAATCCTAAAAAAACAAATTTGTGTGATCTAGAATATAACTTATCAAAACCAAGACTAAAATTATGAATAAATCATGTAGATCCCAAAACTTTAAGAGGTAAGGGATGTAGAGGTTCATAAGAAAATAAAATAGAATGAGGATTTTTGTTATTTAAAACCAAGGATGACATGTGATTAATGAGAAAACATGCAGTAAGAACAACATTACCCCAAAAATGTTGAGGAACCTCACCATGAGTTAACAGAGTGCGAGTTGTTCCAATAAAATATTTATTCTTGCGCTTAACCACCCCATTTTGTTGAGGTGTATAAGCACACGAAGTTTGATGAAAAATGTCATGAGAAGCCATAAAATGTTTAAAAGAATGAGAAAAGTATTTATAACCATTATCACTTTGCAAAGTTCAATTAAAAATCTCAAACTGAGTTTGAATTTCATTAAAAAAGGATTGGAATATAGAAAACAACTTAAAACAATTTTTTAATAAAAACAACCATGTACATTTGAAATAATAATCAATAAAAGTAACAATACTGAAAACCTAAATTAGACTTAACACGATTAGGTTCTCAAATATCAAATTGAACTAATGTAAAAGGGGACGAAGCACGTTGTGAGATAGTACGAGAAAAGGAACTACGATTATATTTTCCTAATTGACATGACTCACATTACAATTTGGTAAGACTGAGATGATCTAGCTAAGTATGGAGGAGAGATGGAGACTCTATAACTGTGCCAACATAGGTAGAATGACAGATGATAAAGAACATGAGACTAATCATTTGTCTTAAACTCCGGTTCTGTAAACAAATAGAATCTTTGATAAAAGAAATAACACAATCAAGAGAACGGATTAGACGACTAATGGATAGTAAGTTAAAGGGAGACCCAAGAACATAAAGAACATTATCAATTGATAAAGATAGAAAAATATTAACAATACCCACGCTATGAGATAAGACCCTAGACTCATTAGTCATTGTAATCGAAGGTAAATTATTCGGAGAGGATAAAGAATAAAATAAAGATTTGTTACCAGTAATATGATCTGTGGCGCCTGAATCAAGAACCCAAGGTCCAAGAGAAGGAGATTGAGTTAGGCCAACAAAAGATGTACTTGTGCATGCAATAGAAATAGTGGAACTAAAGTTCGGACGATCCTCATACCATTTGAAAAAATCATTGAAAATAGCAGATTTATCTATGGTATAAGATGAAGTAGGATCCACAGTAGATGATTGTGAGGGGGATCAGTTTGGACAATTGCAGCAGATCGAGGAGAATGACCATATAATGCATAACACCTATCAATCTTGTGGCCTAGTTTGTGACAATGATCGCACTTGTGATGCCTTTTTCCTGGCTTGCAAGAGCGATTGCGATCATCATGTTGAAATGCTAAAGCAGAGTAATCATTGACGGAAGCAAGTATATCAATGATATGTTTACTTGGCACACACAAAAGGGTGGAACAAGTAGAAGTAAAATTATGCACAATGGGGAACTCAAAATCTGATCACGGACATGGGAATATTCATCAACAAGTCCATGTAATACCAACAACATAAAGAACTTTGACCGTTGCTCTAGTTCTTGGGCAGGAGTAGAGGCAAGAGGTAATAACTCAATAAAGTCATGAAGAAGAGCATGAACTTTACCCAAATATTCAGTCATTGGGCTATGACTTTGAGGAACAACAACACTGGGAAGATCGTGACAAATACCATAAAGACGTTGAGTGTCATTGGTGTATAATAATTTTGCCTGTTTCCAAACTTTGGAACACGTTTCGTAGGCACGAAACATTTATTTTAAAGAAGAGTGAATGGTAGACTTGAGAACGATACATAACTAAGCATCAATTTTCATCCAACGTGAAACTTCACTGGTAGCAATAGTAGTTACACTCTGAGTAAGATGACCATCATACCCCTAACTCTTAAGCTAAAGTTTAATGTCTGACGCCCAAGTCACATAATTAGTGTCATCTAACTTATCAATAGACAAGTGCACATTTACATATTTAGTACGGACTAACGGGTCAGACAGATTGGTGGCAGAAGCAGAGATATCTGAAAAGACAACGGAAGAAGCCATGGAGGAAGAGAGAGAAAAACCATAAAAAAACCAAAGAGGTCTAATTAGATCAACAAGCCCAGATCTAGAAAGAGGGAGAGACAGTGAGTTCAGTGATAGTGATCATAGCCGGAGAAGCCCTGTCACACGCGGCGGAAATGGCTGCTGCACGAAAACTTCGAATGGCATGTGAGAGTGTGTGGAGACTCTGGTTGTAGCGATCTCAACGGCATGGTGATCACCTGGTCAAGATGAGCGGAAGGGTGTCGTTGTTGGTCTGAATTGTAACTCCGGCGATGGCAGTGACAAGTGCAGGGTTAGCGGCGACGAAAAAAAAGAAACCCCAAAGAACCTAAGCTCTAGATATCATATTGAGTATAGTGAAAACTAGGTATAGAGTTAATCTTCCTTCTGTGTAAAATACACATAGGGTAATATATTTATAATGAAGAGTAATACAGGGAAATATGGTAATTATATGATATTGTTAGATATTGTGACTAACAATATCTAATAATATCTAACAAGATCCATATTGGTATGAAATGACTAATTTCCGTGAATAATCAATTTTATGTAGTTTTCGAGATCAGCTCACATAGCATAAGTTATTACATCAATATTCTTACGGAGATGGATTGATTTTAATTTATACAATTGTGTAGAAGTCATACCCTCCTTTTGGGATAACACTCGAGTCCCTTCTCTAGCTGCCCTCTGAAGATTTCATATAAAATAAAACAACAGTATCACACCCTTGAAAATAGAGATTAGAGTAAAGACTGAATTATTTCTATTCATTGAAATGCTGAAAATTGATACAAATATACATATCCTAATGATGCTACCTTAACTAAAGAGACAAGTAAAGAGATAAGTAGGGGTATCAAAGTGAGTCAACCTGACCTATATGGGTTGGCTCACATTAGAAATAGGTCAATTTAATCTAGTTCACTTTTTGGTAAGTAAAACATTTGACTCCCTGCCTCGATCCATTAAAGGTTGGATGATTGACTTACGTATATATATAATTTATTTTTATTTTTTTAAATCACTAAAATAGATAGATTAGGTGAGTTGATTCATTAAAATACTTTTTTTCTTGATGGATTTACACTTACACATAAGTAGGAAAAATTAAAATATTAAAGATTGAAAAAAAAAAAAAAAAAGTTCAAACTATTAGCAACCAAGTTTGAATCTGTTTAACTTATGGGTTAAGTGAGTTACATTCATTTTGATCCATAATTGAAAATTTTCAAATTTTTTTGACCCAATCCGGCTTGAAACCATGGTAAGTTGGATTGGTTCACGGGTTACATTCCATATTGACACCTCTTGAAATAAGGAAAGAAATCACAAATAATGAGGCTACCCTAATTAAGGAAATAAGGAAAAACAAGTCTCAAATCAAAACTATACACAATTATTCCCCTCGTTTCAGTAATTACAATCACAAGCCCATTTAATTACATATCATAGTTAATCTTATCACTCACAGCCGTGCCAACACTCAAGCTGGTGAATGGATATTTATTATCCTCTGCTTGTAAGTAACATTGCAAAATCAATCTGTGGAGATCCGTATAGTAAACACATGCCAATTGAAGCCTCAAATGGTTGTGCATCATGGTAGTTATAAGATCACTCCTAAATTTTTTATGATGAAGTCAGTCTATTTATATATGTATGATTTAATCACGTTTGACTGTATTGCGTGCAATGTTGAGTGCAGAATTGTTATCACACTATATCCTCAGAGGTTTCTCATACTCTCTTGAGATCATCATGTATAATCTTCATCCACAACATCTCACAAATTTCAAGAGCAATAGCTCAAAACATGCTTACTTTCATGCTTCCTTTTCTCTCCTACTTTGTTACACTAAACTATCTCTTGTAACAGACTCTTGATCTTTTTGCTCAATTGTGTCGGGAACGAAGGTACCCTCATTTGAGGCTTGATGGCTCCACATCAATTAGTAAAAGGCAGAAGTTGGTCAACTGCTTTAATGATACATCAAAGGTAAAATGCTTACCATTTTATAATTTTGCTTACTTGAAATTCATTAAGCATAAATTATGATTGCTCTAATATAAAAATTATTGACAAACTGCAGGATGAATTTGTTTTTCTCTTAAGCAGCAAGGCTGGTGGTTGTGGTCTCAATTTGATTGGTGGAAATCGACTTGTCTTGTTTGATCCTGATTGGAATCCAGCAAATGATAAACAAGTAATACCCTTGTGTTAGTTGTGACAAGCGTTGTATGCATGCTTTCTCTCTCCCACTCTTGCACATAATCTTTTGTTTGCTGTTCTTCCTTGCCAATATATAGGCTGCAGCAAGAGTATGGAGGGATGGACAGAAGAAAAGAGTTTACATTTATAGATTTTTGAGTGCTGGAACAATAGAAGAAAAGGTATATATTATTGTGATAATTTAGTAAAGACAAATGCATGTTACATTTGTTATTCATTTAGCCTCAGTTCTTTCAGTCTGGTATTTCTGTTTATATTTCCCTTTACTATACTGCTAAATAATGTGTAGGTTTACCAGCGTCAGATGTCAAAAGAAGGGCTGCAAAAGGTCATTCAGCAGGAGCAAACTGATAGCCTTGTGGCACAGGTTTAAACTGCTGCTTCTCCCATGTATTCTAGTTGATGCTGTTTATTCCATTTCTTAAAATCTTATTCTTTTTGTTCTGCTGTTTATTTTTAGGGTAACTTTCTTTCAACCGAGGATCTTCGTGATTTGTTTACATTTCATGAGAACATCAAGTAATGAATTCCTTTTCTCTTTGATCTATATTAATTGATACAAAGTGTGCAGAAGATTAATATGCATTTGGTATCTGGTATTTAATGGGAAGGACGAAAGATAAAACTAGATAATTGATAATTCTCTCAATTTTGTGCTTAAATTGTCGAGATTCTCCTGGTATTGAAAGAAGCCTAATCAAATGATTCACACTAATTGTTATAGGATCCTCAAAATCTCAAGATTTTTGAAATCTTTGAAATTGATGAACTAAGGATAGATGCAAGGGATGAACAACAATGACTAGCGTCTGCACAGCCACTGAAACATTGAATCCGAACATTTTCTTCTGTTTCCCTTTCCCCTACCAATCAGCAATTAAATCTGGTTGCTCAAAGAATCATCTTGAAAACACAAAATAATCATCAAAGGACTTTGTCATTGTGCAATTTAATCATGGTTGATTTTGATGGTGTTAGTGAAAGGGTCAAAATAAATGACACCTTTCATCTTATGTATTGTCTATCATAGCATGGGCCTGTGATCTTTACTTAATTGTCAGTCTAATGTCTGCTTTATTATTTTTCTTTAGGTCAGATATTCATGAAAAGATGCAATGTAATCGGTGTCAAACACACGGTGGCCCTCGAAGCACTGACGCCCAATTAACATCAGATAGTGAACCTGGTGAAGAAACCTCTGATATAGGTGGATTTGCAGAAATTGCTGGCTGCTTACAGAATTTAAAAAGATCAGAAAAGCAGGTAGCCTTGTGTATTTTTCTGCAGTGAGATTGTTTTTATTCCATTCACTCTTAAAATTTGAATGGAATCAATTAGTTCTTAATGTGATGCATTTTTTTATTCTGAATTGAACTAATTAATGCTCCTTTGCCACAAACTATTGAATATTTACTGCTTCTTTGGCTTTCTTTTGCCTTGCTCTTGTAATTGGACTAATTGGAGGATTCAATGGATCGAGTGTAGTAGGTTTGCTTGCATCACTTGCTTCATCGTCACTGACAAGATTTTACCCACGTCTGTCTTACCTCCTGATTCAAGGGAATGCAAAAAACAAATAATTAAAGTTTTGACTGTTACACTTCCTTTTTTAGGTAGGGAGCCCATTGGAAGAAGATTTAGGAAGTTGGGGCCATCATTTTTTCCCAATTTCTGTGCCAGATGCTATCCTTCAGGCTTCAGCAGGTGATGAGGTGTGTTGTAGCATTTTAATATTTTTATTTCCTCGTTTACCCTAAAAAATATGTAAAAGCCTAAAATATGAAGTATGCCCATGCCCATGCCCATGCCCATGATAATACTTGACTTGCAGGACTATTCCTGTAAGTCCGTTCACATCACAACATTTGAACTTAGCAAAATTGGTTGCATTCACGGTTCTGTAATTTCAGGTGACTTTTGTCTTCACAAACCAAGTCAATGGAAAATTGGTACCCATCGAGTCTATCATCAGTTCAAAGCTACAGCAAAAGGAACCAAATAAGGAATTACTCAAATCAAAGCCCACTCCTTTATATAACAGATTACCCCTGCAGTCTGCTTCTGGTGTTGCTAGTGTGTCGTCATCATCCACTCCCAATACCAACATCACCACAAATGTGGCATTTGATACTGACTACTCTCTTGTTAGTAAAGTATTACCACAGAAAAGATCATGTCCTGCTAATATCAATAATTTTGAGTAATATATTTCATAGTTTTCACCCAGTTTGATGTATTTACACTCTTCTTTCTTTAAAATTAACGACGTCTTGTTCATGGAAGCTGATTTAGTGTTGTTCTTTTTTTCCTTTGTTCCCAAAAAACATGGCTGAACACTTAACTGAGGTAGAACAAAGAAGCAAAAGAAATATATTGCTATATTAAATTTTTCTTTTAAATTTTATACATTTTATAGTTTTACAATAAAATTTATTTAGAAATTTCGTGGAACATTAATTAAACATTATGCTTAAACTAAAAATATATATTTTGAATTTATACTTAAAATTAGTTTTTTCTAAACAAAAGTAAATTTTAAACACATTTATAAATAAAAAAAATATTAAATAACAGTTGAAAAATCTCAATTTTCAACCTTTTTGTCCAATAATTTATAGTTATTTTCAGAACTAATTTGATCTATATGAAAAAAAAGGTGGGTAGAGTTCATTTTATTTTGTATATTTTTCATAATTTCACCTAACATTTGTTTATAAATTATTCTAATTCATCACCGATTAGTCTTTATACCTTCAAAATCTTTTTTCAAATGAATCTACTTATAAAATACCGTTTTCACAAAAACCATTACCTAACTTAAGAAAGGGATGAACAGACTGAGCCTTTATGGTGGAAAATAGTTACACAAGTATTTTATGTAATTTTTTCTTTTTGTTAAAGATTATAAAATGTTTTATTTATTATAAAATATAGTTAATTTTCTCAACGTAGGAATCGAATTGACTAACAATTGCGAAAACTTGGATTAATTGGTTCTTTTAGGGCGAGAAAATGAACGAACTAGCGTTAATTTAAAACAATAAATTGACTAATAATGGTTAAAGTTAATAATCATTTTCTTTATTTATACTTTAAGGGAGAATTTTTTTATCTAGATTAATCACCATAATTCTACATTTTCTTTCCTACATGTCCATTTGATAATTTCTTTAGTTTACGTAACAGTAATTAATGAGATTATGTCCCTATTTCCACGTAATTTTCAAATATTTTACAAAAAGAAAGATATAATAATAAAATAAAGATCATATTAACAATTGACAAGTTAAAAATAACCATCATAAATAAATATATTAATTATATTCCTTGATTTACATGTTGACTTAAAAAAAAAGAATAATATAGAACACGTAATTTAAAATTGGGTAAAATATGATGTAGAGTGACAGAGGGATACGTCAAAAATCTGCTAAAATGTTGACATCATTTACAAGAGATATGGACAAATACGTTAATGTTGGAACGAAACATTCGTTACTGGAGCAAGGCTCTATTTGTTCTCGAAAACTATAAGCCATCAAATTATCATGTGTCACATCTCAAATGTTATCTACGGAACTGTAGCATGTACATTATATATATAACAATATTTTACATGATTTTTCGAATTAGTCTCAGTGCCGTGAGAGCATTTTTTCGAATTAAAAGAAACTAAAAGATTGTAAAAAACTTAAGAAACATTTCTAACGACGTGCAAGAAACATTTTCCTAATCTAAACAAAACAACGTCTTTGGGCAGCATCTAGAATTTGAGTAGAAAACAAATGGCAATGTTACATCACCAAGGAGCATCACCCAGGTCTTGGAACACAGACTCTAATAGCCTCCTGATCAAGTGAGATGATTTTACAAGCCAAAATCCTCCGGTTACGTGAGATGGAAGCATGGACTTAAGAAAGCTTGAGAATTTTATCAGACCAAAACCAAAGGCTGTCCAACGGTCAAACATTCAACCAGAGGAGACACATGAGTGAGTCAGACAATTTTGAACAGATATACTCTTTCCCTCATCTGAAACTGAAGATAACAAAACAAAACTATTTCCACCAAACCAACGCCGTAAAAGGAAGAAACTTAACACAAAGAAAGTGATAACTTCAATTGATGTGCGATGAGATGATGCATGGCCACTTGGTTTGGAGGATGACGTGCTTCAAACACGTCTTCCTTGTCACCGCTAAATAAAGATAGTTTTAATTATAAAAAGCTATATAAAAATCATAATATTAAAAGGATGAATGGTTAGAAAAAAATAGGATTATTTTTGTATTTACTACAAACCATGTTTCATTTCATTATATTATTATTATTATTATTATTATTATTATTATTATTATTATTATTATTATTATTATTATTATTTAAGTTTATTAAACAATACAGAAGAAAGAGAAAAAGTCATTTAATATGAAATAAAACCTACAAAAAATTGCAATTTTTAATGAAGTTAATAGGCTAGTATTTCTCTTATTGATTCAAAATACATGTAAGTTCATAGAAAAATAATAGCAAAACACCGGCCGGGAATGGAAAATGGAGAACCTCATCGAAAACGTCGGTACTAAGAAGAGCTCTGAGAAGTTTTACAATAATATGGACAAAATTATGAGTTAAAAAGTCATTTTTCTTCTGTGTGGAAGAGAATGTTGTGATCTCAATGATCATGGACCGGCTATAAATTATATTCTACATTAGAGGAAATTAATATAAAAAAAAATTACAATTTCTAATCCATATGGAACCAATACTGAAATTAAAGGGCTTTATTCACTTGAAAGAAGTCGGGTCGGTCCTTGTTAGCGGCGTCTACATCCTCTGGAGATGCCACCGCAACCACAACCCCTTTATCCTTGACTGCTTCCATTGCATCCGTAAAATTTTTGAAGTCCTTCAAACTGGCAAAAATATAAAGCAGTACAAAGACAAGAAATGGTTTCAAAGGTCATAATCATGTTCAGTGGGAAGTATAAGTCGTAGCACAAGTTTCCCAGGTACTATACAGAATTTATGTTCAAAATTCATTAGTCCTGTTAGCATATGTGAATAACAGAATCCAAGGACAATAAGGAGGCATAACCTCGCAAAATATTTAAAAATTGTCTCAACACAACACTTCACTGAGACTAGTCTCTTTCGCAGTAAACTACATGTAAACCGTTATCATCCAATGACACAGAAAATCAGCCGTGTTAAAATTTTCATTGATTCCCAGATTCAGAAAATCGTTTTGGGATTGTTGCTCACGCCATAGAAAGAGAGTGCGAGATGTATTGAGATCGGATAAATTATTTTGCTTCATCATTAGCCACAGATCAAATGATTACAAATTCATAAACAGAAGAAGATCATGCATTAATAAACTATCAGAATCTTACCTGGTAGATAATATTTCTTCACGTCTCCTTTGCCTTTCTTCCTCTGTGATACCCAGTAAGTACCGCAACATACTGCAATTTAAATGAAAAGCAAGCATAGTTTGTAACTACAATAAGGGAGAGAAAAAAACATTAATTGCACATTTCGAAGCAACTACTAATAATTCAGCAATTAATCTTGCTCGGAGAGAAGTGCCTAGTCTATGAGATTCGGTCATAGAGAGATGCAAAAAGAACCAAATATCCAAAGACTCCGAAAGCATCAACTATCTCATAGACATACCTACTATAACCTTTGGCGTCCGGAAGCTGATAAGCATCTACATCCCCAATGGTTCCAATTATGGCTTTTGTTAAAGTGTCGTCATCTATTTGTAGTTCTCTTAAGAAGTCACCAGTTCCATCATATACATCAAGTGTCTTCAGCAAATTGGGATCACGATAAGATAAGAAGGAGAACACTCCTAGAAACAGAAAAAAGTAAGATTGAAGGTTGTTTTTCAATAAGAATTTTTATTTAGATTACACAGACAGCATATATTTTTACAGTCATCCAATTGCAGATTGAAATGAATGGAAAATTTGTTGACTTTCATAATAGAATTTTTCAAAACCATACTTAAATTTGTTTCTTATGCTGATTGTATAAAAATTACACTGACAATATATGAAAATTAAACTGTTTCAATATTATGCCTAATGCTAAATATAATACAACTTACCTGAGTGAGTATCAAAATCACAGAAACCTCCATAAGCTCCACCACTAACACGTACCCGATCCCACAACCATGTATTGCTAATGTATTTGGAAATAACATATGCACTCCCATTGAGCTGATAACCAGCATCATAAATGTTGGCTGCTTTTCCGACATAATTAACCTATAGAAGAAACACCATGATATGTCATAGAAACAATTAATGCAATAGAGAAAAATGAAAAAAGGAAAAACTTAAGCATCAATTACACTCTTCCCTTGCACAGCAGAAATAAAAATATGTATACAAAGGATGATAAAATGAAATTATATTACCTGAGTAGGAATCACGATAGCTTCATTTGCCGATGGAACTCGAAAATTCCAAGCAATTTTTGCAACAGGAGAGCTAGTGGGAAGCAGATCAACAAATTTGCTCACAACTTTCTCCGCGTTTACAAGGTTTTTCCTATCAGCAGTGACATTTATCAAGCAACCTTGCTTGGAAAATACAGATTTGCGAATTTCCTCAAGAGAAGATGAGATATCATCCCAGTCTTCATCAACCCTCTCTTCAAGTGTTCGGAGGAATTCAAGGTAACTAGAAAGAATAATCAAGAAATATATAAATACACAACAGGAATTATACTTCTGTAATGTTTCAATAAAATAAGAATTGTCATTTCTTCTCCTAAACTACAAGGTAGGTATAGAAAGACACTCTACCATGCTGCAAACAGCAACGGCCAGACAAAACAGGTCTTTATCAATATGACAATAATGGACATTATGACAAATAATTATATAAATGCACCCTCAATAGTTCATAAGAGTATCTAGATCTTCTAACCTTAGACCTCCCATCTTTTCTGACATCCAACCTGCTGCATTTAGTTTCGCATCCATCCTTGCAGCTGCAATTCCATGACCACTTCCTCTTAAACGGTTCTGACAATAGACACAATACAGATAATTAGAAAGAGGCTTGTCACACCTTTCATCATTTTTCTACTCTCTTTACATGAAACATTTTGATAATTACCTCCATTCTAGCTCTACTCTGGGAAACAAATTGTTTGAAACGCTGTTGGTCTGAAAATTGGACAT